TGCTCTCCTGAGACCCAGGCAAGCACTCTAACCACTATGCACACTGACTCTCTGTATACTGTTACTCAGTCTTTATAAGGAAGGACACCTACTTATTAGTCAAAACAATATTCCTGCTAGCCAACAACAATATCTGTGTAACTGAAAAGATAGCATTATAAGTCTTTACAGCAAAGAATGCCTGCCAAAAGTGACTACTCCATCTGTGCAAGTTGTGGATTATTTTAGTGATCAATAACTGCATATAGATTTTGGTATACTATAGTTGAAAATATGGCCTTTGTTATGACCGCATCAATACAGTGACTGTATTCATACATAATGACAAGCCATGGTAGGAATTGCTTGTTATGTGTGAACACAGCAAGTATGGTGAAATGTGGCACGGTTACTGTGAATCACCATGGAGAACCAATGGTTTGTTTTTGGGCTGCCATATTTCCACGCTGCTTCTTGTTAGGTATGATGCCAGTTACAGTGTTTTTCTGCAGTTTCTCCATTTCAGTTTGGCAGCAAGAGAGAGGCATCTCTCTCTTGCATGCACCTTGCAAGACTGGCATCTTGGTGAGAGGCAAAATGGGCATGATGGTTGAGAACATGCCCAGGGAAGCATACAGGTCAACAGAGGAGAGGTAGGTGGGGCAGGCAAAAGCAGTGCATGCTGGGACTGATTCCCACTCACAGGGGCTGATGGGATACATGCTGCCAACTGGAGGGATAATGGAGGTGTGCAGGAACTACTCATGAGTAGTTATTTCATGAAATGTGTGAGTACAGGACACAAGGTAAGATTGGTAACTTCATCATATGTGTGAACACAGCCATTATATTTTGATTTAGAGAAGCATTTAGAATCTTGTGTCAAAGAAACAAGTTCTAATTGGTTGCCTGCATTTTTAAAGATACTCTTTTCTGGAGGATTAATTAGAAATCAAGCTTGATGCTGTCAAAGCTATTTCAGTATTAAGGGAGAGGGGAAGGGTTGCTTAAATATAAACACAATAAAACTCACCTCTGTAGATTAGTTCTCATAGAGTTTGCTAATATGTACTGTACATTTTCACACTGAAATCTTTCTAGTAATTGTTTAACAAATTGATTGAAAACTGAAGTTAAGACTTAATCTTTATTATTATTATTTATTACTTTAGTCTACCTCATCTGTAATTAAGTCTAAGAATGCCTCAGTATGGCCGGATTACTGAATCACAGTTTGGCACTATGGAAATGAATCTTGGCAAGCTCTGGACTAACATACTTCCTCCTGCAATAAAAGTGGAGGGAGGAGAACAGAATCATTCACTTCCATTTTAAAACTTAAATAATTTGTTATTCCATCCAACAAGGAAAACTGTTCAAATTTGTGAAACTGTTATGTGGCCACAGCACCATCTTAAAATTCTACACCATGCCTGTGGCTGGTTGTGTGGCCTGAACCTGGTAGGGATGACTTGTGTGAGGGTTAAACAACTCTCTTAAAATTCTGAAGAAGAAGATGAATTCTGTAACTGTAATTTCTCCCTTGCACCACTTGCTCCTGTTGGTTTTAGACAAGTCAAGACGCAGTTTACATTTTATGGACACATCTGTTGCAGCTCACCATGCCTTAAATAAACTATAGTGGGCTGTTTGATCATCAGAAGAGCTCACTATGGCTAGTTCAAACTATGTTTTATTGAGACTGGCTTAACAAACCAGCTTAACAAACCAGTGGTGGGAAACTGCGTTCAGCTTGAGAGTTGAATTCTATTTAGAAAACACTCTCAGGGGCCACATTTCAGTGGTAGGCAAGGCCAAAGGAAAAAAGAGGGGGCCAAAATACTAGTATACTGGAGTTTACAGTTTTTACTGGTACTAACTAAGGCTTAAGAGAGCAATTTCAATGGGGGAAACTGCACAAAAGCCAGGAGACCACCAAATACTTTTGTGCTTGAGGAAAAAGGAGTGGGGTCAGGGACAAGGCCATCTGGGGAATCCAGGCTGGGACCCCAAGGGCAAAATTTGGCTCCCAGGCCTGAGTTTTCCCAACCCGATTTCAGCTGACCTGAGTTCCAATCTTAGACTGAAGAAGAAACTCCTGCTAGTTTAAACTAGGAAGTGGATGCTTCCAATCTCATTCTCATGACAGCACCGAAGATGAAGAGGGAAAGGTTCATCAAAGCTTGTTAACATAGCACTGAACTATAGTTTAGCATTATCTCCTAATCAGGCCACAGTATAACTGCATTTGGTCTTATCCAACCCTTACAACTTTGCTTTCCCATGACTCAAATTTCATCCTAGCTTATATATGTGGAGGCACTGAGAAAAGGGTTGCCCACTTCATTCTTATCTAGGTCCCTTCTCTGGGTTTTCTGGGGGGGTTAAGGTTGTTCAGCTCTAGCCTTTTTCCTTATAGAGAATGCTGTGTACAGAAAAACATGCAGGCCCTACTCTACTTAATTGCTCCTTCAGAGGGTACTGAGTCCCTATGTTTCTGTGATTAGGCCAACCAGTACCAGATGATGGTTTTTTTGAGTGGTGACCAACCATTTTTGTGCTGTCAGGTGTTACCCATGTACACATTTTTAAAAAATTGAAACTGAATAACAAACTCACTGAATGACAAAATCAAGGATGTGGAAGGAGAAAAGGAGATTTGACTAGCATTATTAAGGCTTTCTAAGGAAGAATAGGCATGGCTTCTGCAAAGGTAAGGTTCAGCTCACCAATGTTTTAAAGTTGTAGGGATGAAGGTAGGATTAGCAGGGTTCCCCATGGGGTTTTGTATTCAGTCTAGTCTATGTAACATATTCATAAATGGTCTCTGTGATAATGAGTTAGCAAAATCTGCAGATGATCATTTGAGGTGATGAAATCCAGAGCAATAGGTTCACCTCTTACTAAGGAATATTTCTCACACATAAAGCATGATTAATGGCATGGTTCTGGGCATGTCCACAAAGAGTTCAGTCCCACTTTGTGCAATTATAAATTATTTAACACTGAAGCCTAACTTATGGAATTCACTATTACTAGATGTTACTAGTTTAGAACAGATAGTAAATGCTATTAACCACAATACATAATAAACAAAACCTTCAGGTTAAAAAGGCAACATGTTAAGAACAAATAGGGAAAGCCTTCATTTTCAAGACCTGGTTCAAGGCAACCAAATACCCTGATTGAGTAAAAATGTTCATGTATATGCACACTGACCTTTCTAAACCAATGTATGTTTTCATATTCCCATTGTATCACCATTTTGGGAGCAAGAAACTTGTTTTCAAAGTGAACAAAGAGTCAATTACAGTATGTGTTTTTCATTACTTGGATCCCTAATTTCTTCTAGACCTACAAAGATAGTGCTCACTTACAACTCCTGACTGTAACCCATGGAAACAAGGAAGAATGAGGAATATCCACCTACTCCTGTGTACTCTGTTATTATCCATGCAGCTTGCCAAATCTTCCCTTACATCAGCCTCATGCCTGACAGTCAGGTGAGACAGCGGAACAAGCACTAACAGGTTAGAAAGAAGTAGGAGCAAGAAGATAGATCAGAAGATGCAAAGCTGTGCCAACTTTTAAAATCCCTTTTCCTTTCCATCCATACCAATTCCAGCATGATGATTTCAGACCATGGGCCTGTAAAAGCATTACACATCACTGTGACCTGAATTGCTCTCAACTGAAATATTTTTTTTTGAAGAGAAGCATTATAGTTACCTTGAACTTCTAGAAATGCTTCAATAGCCAAATCTTCAGGCTATTTTCTTTCACCCCAGCAAACCTGTGCACCTGGTATTATTGTGAAGGGCTGGATGTCTGGAGGAAAGTTCAGTGTGCTAAGTAAAGGAGGAAATAATTGCCTCCGGATTAATAGGTGGCACAACCAGCACAACAGGGGTTTCCAACTAATGGGTTCTGACCTACAAATGGGTTGCACCCCAACCAGAAGGACTCAAATCTTTGGGGGGATTGAACACAATTTCTAATAAGGAGCTACCTAAAGAAGGGAAAACACACTAAGGGGGGGGGAGAAGAAAATCATCAGTAGTATCAGAACAGTTGCATATGAGTAAAAAGAGAAAAAGAAGTGGGTCTCTCCCACTGCAGGTCATGGTTAATGGTGAGTTTGAAGGGTGGAAAGGCTGACTACCATTGCTAATAGAGATGGAGGCCTTTAATTATCTAGGCCATTAAGAGAAAGATTGTCAACTCTGGAGGAAAAAGATCAAGTTGTAGAGAGGGACTGGAAAGGCCACCACAACTGAGTGGCAGCACACTTGCCATTAATACAGGATCCAGGCTGTTTTCCAAGCATCTCCAAGCAGGGCTGGGAAAGGGTCCTACCTGAAAGCCTAGCAAGCCATTGCCAGACAGAACATACATAACTAAGCTGGATGGACCAATGGTCTGAAACAGTATAAAGTACCATCCTATGTTGTGGGGGGAAAAAACAGGTTGTGAGAAATGGGGGAAGGGTCAATTCAAGAGAGGTAAGAGAAGTTCATCACTATGTGGGGTGGGCGGAGAATGCGTGCTTCGAAGGAGCCTTCGAGAAAATTGAGTAAAAAGGAAGAACGAGAAATGTACGTGCCGGCGGATGCGAGGAGGGAGGCCCCTCTGCGCTAGCAGACCACCCGAGGGATGGAGGACTGAAAGGGGGAAAGGGGGGGGGGGGGTCCGGGCACCTGCGCTCAGCAGAGGCAACCATTTCGAGGTGCTGTCATGTCTTCCCCATCCTGGCGCCCTCCAGACACCTTGGACGAAAGGCTCTCATCAATCCGAAGCACTGATCTGGGGCTGATAGGAATCGTGGTCCAAAACATTTGGGAGTCTGCAGGCGAGGGGAGGCTAGGACAGGGGGCCGATCGTTCTGGGAGGAGGTGGGGAGCGAGACCGCGCGTGAACGCCAGGAAGGGCAGTTGGAGGGGGCGGTTGTCTGCCGGGCGAAAAGGGCCTGCGAACGGCCCGGCAGCGCCTGCCCCAGTGTCGCTTGGGAGGCCAACACTTACGGGGTGCAGCGGTCGCTGTACTCGTTGGCGATGGTCTCGATGCCGCCGCTCCGCGCCACCGCGATGTAGCAGTTCTGGAAGCCCAGATCGATGCCCACCACAGACATGGCTGCGCCGGGTGCGGTCTGCCTTCTTCCTCGCCTTGTCCGCTCGCTCGCCCGCCCGCCCGCTGCTGCTGCTGCTGCTGCGTCGGCGGCGACGACGACGACGACGACGACGACGGTGGTCCCTGCCTCGGGCGAGCGCTCGGGGCTGCGTGCGGTTGCGACGGGGTTCCTTGCGCGGCTCGCTCGTTCTCTCACTGCGGAGCAACAGCCACCAACCGGCACTTGCTCTCCTCTGCGCAGGCGCGTCCGCCGCCAGGCAGAGGCACCGAGAAACTCTGGATGCGCCAATCGGCACTTTCCGCTCTGACTCGGGCGCAGCTTGCCCGAATTCGAGAAAGATCTGGAAAAGCAGGCAAGGTGAGAAGCGTGGGAGGTCTTGGCCGCCCTCTCGTGGCAAGAGGTCGGTACTGCGTTACAAGTTAACGTCCTTGGACAGGATCGCTCCTGGAAAAGTACAGAAGAGGATGGCCTTAAAATAAACAGAGGCTGATCCAGCTGTAGCAACAACAAATACTGCTCTTTTGCAATCGATTAACTTAATTGTGAAGAACTCACAAATACATTTTAAATTATCTGGATGAATAATTATTCCGCTAGTCGCCAAAGTGTCCTTCTAACAAATATTAATATTCCGTTGGAACAAAAGAGAAACGCGAAACAGAGATATGTCAAAACCATTGAGTGGAGGAAGAGAGATGAAAAAGTAAATGGGTAGTTTACTTATCCCAAAATATTTCTATATACAGAATAGTAATAGGACTTTTTTTTCAACTCGAGACATTTTGAGTATCGCTCTATGGGGCAGGGAGCAGAAATGATGCAGCTGGTGCCCCACTATCCAGGAGGGTCCCACAAGCCCAGCCAGTGGGCAGCAAGTGATGGGCGCAGTGGCGAACAAGCTGACATCAGCCTATGGTTCAGCTCTGAGAGCTCTCCCAGGCTGCAGCAGCTTGTCACAGAAGTCTTCCTTCAGATTCCTTCTTCCTGTTCTCCTGCCGAAGGTTGAACTTCTCATCAAGGCTAAGCAACTTTTAGATAAAGGTTTCTCTGAGTAATGCTACTGTATTGGCACTCTCCCATTCTGTAAGGTTTTTCAGTTAAGAACTTTTCCCTACACTTCTTTTCCCATTTATTTGTCCTTGTGTAAGCAGCGGCAACATTTTACATTTCATTTTTCATTATATGACCAAACTAGTTTTCTGGGTCTTATGGTTTTTATAATTTCCTAATTATGCTTAATATTTCTTTGTTGGTCAACCTTTCATCTCATGAGACATTATATCATCTGAAATGCTTCTGTCTTTGGGATGCTCCAAATACCTCTGTATTTTTATGGTAGTCTCTGTTAAAGTCAATAATTTCATACCACAGTGTAGAAGAGAAAATACATAAAACTGTACAATGCATATTTTCAAGGCTGATGTTACATTTTTCTTACATATAAATTTTATTTTTTTTTAAATCCCAATCTTGGGAAGGCTAATCTGGGCATGTTACATGGTTACAGATTTAATTTCCTCCTCCTCCTGCTGCTCATCATCATCATATTTTTAACAACCTTAACAGTATATTGTCCTTTTATACAACAAAATGGTGTTTATTCTGAAGTGAAAGTGGTTAGATACACAGGCAGCAGTATAGCTAGCATCCTGTAGTCGAGATTGTGTTGTGATTTAAGCCAGTTTAAAATGCAAAATTGCAGAAGATTCTTGCTTTCTGTCTTCTTTTATAATCAGGGTTGGCAAACTATTGCCATCTGTGTTAACACATAAGACATGTAGATGCAAGGGATGGTGGGTGCTGGCAAAGAAAATTTACTGCTTCATAGCTAAAATAGTACTTATACCTGTCCAAAAGGCACCCATAAGACTACCACATGCACAAACTTATGCACATTTAGAGAGAACAGTATATAAAAGTTTTAAATAAATAATTAAATCCTACCCTTCCAGTATCCCCTGCCATCATGCATGAGTGAACTGCCTTTGCTGAAGCTTTCAAAATACAGGGAGTCAGTGATGCTGCTAGACATAAAGTTCAGATTCACATTAAGGTTATGATTTGAGTTTGGATTTGGAAAAGATCAGTCCCTCTTGAAGGGCTTGCAAATGGTTCAGTTGAGGCAGAAATACTGAGATCCCCAGAGGAACCCACAAGTGTGCTGAAGCTATCAGTACACTTAGAGAGTTGAGGGCATTGTTAGAGGTAAAGATTCAACTTCAGCTTAGGGTTAATGTTTGGAAATTATCACTGCCCATGTGAATGTGAAAGCCTGAAAGTAACTCAGAAGAGGCAGGAAGAAAAAAAACCCAACTAGCTGCCAACAAGTCCCTTGGGTGCACTGCCTTTGCTGAAGGCGGCAAATACATGGGGAGTCAATGACACTGCTACATTTAGAGTTAAGATTCACATTAGGGTTTGGGTTAGGGTTCGGAAAAGATCAGTCCCTGCGCATGTTGAAGGGCCTGGAACTGGCCAAAGTGAGACAGAAGGGAGCTGCCACCCTTTTCCCAGTCCTAACCCCAACTTGAACCTGAATGCTCAACATCACCCTAGCAGTTTCCAAGACTTGCCATGATTTGGCAAGCTTCATGAAAGGCTGTACACTCAAGGTTTCCTTTAGGATCTTTCATCTCCTGCTTCATCTAAGCAAGTTCCAGGAACTTAGATATGCACAGGGAACGATATATTCTAACCCCCACATTTTTTCACAAGTCATTACATACAGATCTAGAACAGTATTCCCTAATCGGTTACTTTTGAGATGTGTTTGGTCTACTGCTGTCTTCATTCCTGGGTAGCAGGGTCATTGGCAAAACACTGCAGGGGCCAGAAATACCAATATTACAAATTTAGTTATGCATATGTCTGCACATGCAAGCTTTTTAAACAGCAAGTTTTAAAAAAGTGAAATTAAGCTCTCAAACATTTTTAGTAAATGTTTCAGTTTCAGCAAAGTGGGAAAATATACACAGTTGGTGAGAAAAGGTTCTTCAGGCCATCTGGAAACCATGTAGAATTTCCTCAACAAAGTTTAAATTAAAAACAAATGCATCTATCTCATTGAACAGGGTTGTGAAAAATGTGGCCTTATATTGAGAGGTAAAGTTCCTGTCTGGGGACTTGAAGTGAAGATCTGATGTTACTTGTGTCTCCCCTTGAAGAAAGGTTACAACAGGCTGGGATTTTTAGCTTAGAAAAAAGGCATCTAAGGGGAGACATGAAAGAGTTGTACAGAATTATGCATGGTGTGGAGAAAGTAAAGAATGAGACATATTTCTTTCTCTCTCATAACACTATAAATTGATTCAGGACTTGGGAAAACAAGCACTGCTTCACACAGTTCAGAGCTAAACTGTGGAATTCACTTCCACAAGCTCTATTGATAATCACGCATTGGGGTGGCTTTAAAAGGGAACTGGACACATTCATGGAGGATTAAGCTATCAACAGCTATAGTCCTGATGGCTACATGCAACCTCCAGATCAGAGGAAATACACTTATGTACACCAGCTGTGGGGAAACCTGGGCAGGAGGGCACTGTAGCACTCATGTTCTGCTTATGGGTTCCCTGTGAGCAGCCTGTTGGGCACTGTGTGAACAGAATGCTGGACAGATGGCCCCTGGATCTGATCCCGCTTGGCTCTTCTTACGATCTTGCAAGCCTTTTTAAACAGAAACCATTCCTATTACAAACCTCCCTCTGCAGCAGGCTGTAAATCAATTTTCCAGCATATTCAGTTTCAAACATTATGCCTCCCTGAAGAGCAACAACCGAGTAGCACTGCTTATGAAAAATAAACCACTGAACGTAACACCTTGTGTACCCATAAAAAATGCATTTCCAAGCAAAACAAGCTTTGACTTTTCTGTGTTGCTGTGGTAACCACAATGAATTTCTGGACCTTTCTGCCCTTATTGCTTGTCAAGCAATTGCATCAACATATTTTTGTCTCTAAGGTCCTATAATTGTTGTCAGTGAACTGTGTGAATGATGTTTTATGTGAGAAGAAAAATGTAAACAAGTCTTTGAAGGCCCAAAAGAATGGAGAACTTTTCAGAGGACACAGAGTGGATGGGAATTGGGTGATTTTTCCACTAGATTCCCCCAGAGATTTTAACCTTGTTTCTTCTGAGGGAATCTTACAAATTTCCAGGTTGCAGAACAGGAAATAATGGCCTGGATCTCCGGGAGAAATGAGAACACCATCAGTTTAAGCCCCCATCACCTGAAACCTCTCTTTGGCTTTCCTGAAAGTTGGCATATGGAAACATGCAATACTGAATGACTCGGGAGGTCTGTTCTTTCTCAAAGCGGTCTTTCACGGTACAGCCAACACATCATCTGTTATCACCGCAGGTGTTTACTCTGCAAGAATGAAAGGGATGCATGATGGGAAAAATGCACTTAACAGCAAGCTTGTTGGCTAGTATAGTAAAACTTTTCATACTCCCACCATCTGTTGAATGACAAGCAGATATATTTTCCTCCCTTTGTTTTCTATTCTGGGATAGTGGTGGGTTTGAGAACAGCCATTCAACTTACTGTACGTCACTTTTCACCTTTAACTTCTAAAACCACTCAACTTCACTGAGCACAGCATGTAAGGTACATTCTTCTTTATCTTATGTTGGGCTTTTATGTTATTTGATTTGTACTTTTTTTTCTTTATCAGTGACTTCACAACGAGCAAGCAAGCAAAGCCATGGGGCAGAAATTATTTGGATCCAGCCAATTAAATCAATGACATTTTCTAAGGTGTGAGTAAATAATGTTAACTTTCAACACTCTCAAATGCTTCAAGGAGAGTTCTCTAAGCTGTTCTCTGGCCAGTTAAGTACAGTTCAGGTTATAATCACATAATGCATTGGACATCGGGTTGGGGCCACCTCTGAAAAACATCTGGAATGGCTAGACTATTGAGATGAATCCTTATTTTCACTTGCTGCTATGTTGTTTATGGGCTTTATTCAAAGTGCTGTTTTTGGTCTCTAAACTCCTAAATGGCTGGGGTTCCTAAATAATCACTTTTTCTCATATGGCTATAAGAATCACTTCCTAAAGAATCACTTTTTCTCATATTCAGTTAACAACGTCATCAGAAGCCCCTCATCTGCAGTCCTTGCCACCAGACATCATACAGGTGGCAACTGCACCTGCAGGCTTCTTAGTGGCACTACCCAAATTATCCAGCTCCTTGCCTATGTAGTATATACATAAAGAAAGGCAGAGAAGGAAAAGACAATCCTGAAAAACGTGTTACAAAAATTTTAATTCCACAAATGATCCAGAAGCAGAACCAATGGTAAAGTGGAAGCTTAAAAGCCTCAAGTAAAAAAACCCCTGTGGGTTATACCAAGTAATTTTTCCTTATAACAGTTACCTCTTAAAGACGGCCTGCTTAGACTCCCAACTGAATAACTGGTTTCTACAAGAGAATGTTTCAATGTTTTTCTTTTTAGTTTACCCTTCCCCAGTACTGGAAGTTTAAACAAAACAAAATCTGAGTAGAGAATCTTGTTAGTATACTATGTTGCAGGAAACAAGGCACCACACTCCCCCTTAAAAGTGGGAACAAGATATTATACTATCAGACTGAACACAGCTTTAACTACAAAAGGTTTTGTGTATGTATGATATTGTCTTGTCCAGAAATGCACCCCCTCCATTCTCATTGTGTTCAGCTTGGCTCTGGGGAGTCTGGATTCCAATCCCAACTCAGAAACACACTTTAGTAGAGGAAGGGCTTTGGCCACATTATCAGTTGTCTATCTCAATCATCCATCTGTGAATGAAGCAACAATATTTTTGGTTTTCAACTTGGTAATGGAATTGAGGAACATAAGGGATACACTTTAATACAAAAAAGCAGTTATTTGAAAACAATTAGCAAGTAATAAAACAAACAACCATAACTTTTATGAAAGGAAACAAATCATGTTTTAGTTTTTTAAAATAATCAAAGTACATACAGAATTAGCAGATCCATATGGAACTGGTGACTGTTATTACAACACTTGTGGCATGGTATGATACTGAATAAACCTATTTTCAAAACAAAACAAATATGTTTGTGATGCAGGTAAAGTTGATTCTCATCACTGACTTTAGTCAGATGATCGGCCTAATGAAGGATCAATATTAAGAAACTCTTTAATTTTGTCATATAGGACCAGCACCAAAGCACCTCCTGTCCCACGAAGAACGTTTGAGAAGGCTCCTCGAAAAAAGGCATTTATTCCTTCCTGGCCATATATCTTGATAAAGCAGTCAATAGTTCCTTTGTACTGACGTTCAGCCTCTCCGCTCTGCATTCAAAGAATTTTAGACATAGGATTAATGGAAAATGTACTTGCTTGATCTGTGGCAAACATTTGCTTTGTAGCATTAGGCATATTTATAATATATCCAGGAATCTCTCTCTCTAGTTTTGCCTCTGTTTCCACATAAGAACCTTAATGAGTAAATGCTTCCCTGATGTAGCTCTCTGTGGCTAAATTTAGCAATGCAAAGATCTTCATGTGATGTTTCTTTTAAGCTACAGAGTTAAACAAGGTCACTTCTTTCCTCAGGGGGCTGGTGCATGAGGATTCTTGGATTATGTCTGCAGCATGTTTTGGAAGATTGTTCTGTGAACTGTCACTGAACACAACATTCCTCCTGCCACTGCCCCCACCATCAATGATTACCAATCTGAAAAAAATGATTCATCTTTTTAAAATGCTGGGTATATGGCTTCTTCAAGTTTCTGCATCTTTAAAAACGTGTTTGCATCAAATAAAATAAGCAAATATAACTTTTAATGAGAGGAAACATCATGTTTTACTGACTTGTTTACTGAGAAGGTTGAGTAAATTCAAATTGGAGAGATTTTAGATTTACTAAACACTAGGGTTTTGCGAAAGAAAAAGGGAGGGAAAATGCTTTAAAAACCATTTTTCTATCAGCATATGAGAGAATACATGAAAAACCACAGTTATTTCCATTTTAGCAATCTTAGTGGTAGATCATAAGCTTGACATGCAGAAGGTTCCTTGGCATATTCAAGTAAGACTCTTGTATGAAACCCCAGGAGAGCAGCTGCCAGTCAGAATAAGAAATATTGAGCTAGATGGACCAATGGCCTGTGTTCTTAGCCACATATTTTCTGGTAGAAGTCCTATATATGCTATAGCAATAATACAGTCTATTTGTTTTGAGAATATCAAGAGAGAGCTCTGACTGAACAAGCAGCATCAAGACTACCAGCCAGTTTGTGCCTGGCTAATTTACATGCAATTAGCCATCACTATGTATGTAGCTGTGGTTTTTCATGTCTTCTGAACCAAGTTTTTATTGAGGGTTAAACAACCCTCACATAATCCAGGTTTGTTTTAGAGTTATGCAAAGGTTGTTCAACCCTCAAAGATCCCCTCTGACTGGGTTTGGAGAAAATGACAAACCGCACCAACTCCCAGCCCCTCCAACTCCTAGCATATTAATTATGGCAGATGGCACACACCACAGAGCCCTGACGATTCCCTAACCCATGATGGGCTGTTTCATTAGTAACAGGTCAATAAATGGCAGTTGCTTACCTGCATCATCATGCGTCTTCTGACTGTGTCAAAGGGGTATGACAGTATCCCAGAAAATACAGTCACTGCTTGAGCAATTGCAAAGGCCACAACAAATGGTGTCTCTTTGGGATTTGGTAGCAATCCCTAAGAATATAAAACACAAAGCACAAGTAATTGTGTTGCTTTAGAAATGTAAATTCAACAACCGGATAGTATGAAATCAACATATTGCTCCAGCATTTCATATGTTTGCAGTATTTTAAAGGCTGGATTATTTCATATTTTCAATGTACTAAAAAAAATAACCATCATTCAAATCTATGCTCCAAGAACAGATGCTGAAGAAGAAATAGGGAATGTTTATGCAAGTATCCCAGAGGAAATTGATAACACATGAAAACAAGATATGCTGATTATCATAGGTGACTGGAAAGCCAAAGTAGGAAACAAAATAGAATCAAATATTGTGGGAGAATGTGACCCAGGGATCCAAAATGAAGCAGGAGAATGTCTCATAGAATTCTTTGGAGTCAAAATTTGCATACAGCAAATACATACTTCAGGCAACCAATCAGTAACACTAGATGACCAATACAGATATTGACCAGACTATGGAACTGGAAGTAGAAGATATAAAATCTATATTCTCATTGCCAAAACAAGACTAGGAGCAGACTGCTCTGATACTCTTTAATATCGAAAATCAGAGTAAGGCTGAAAAAAGTTCACTACCAAAAACATAGTGACAAAAAACAAATAACTTTCCTGAGAAATTTAAAATCCACATAAGGAACAGATTTTCAATACTGAACTCAATAGAATGCGAACTGAATAACTGTCGACTGAAAAGAATAATATTATTAGGGAAGAATGCATTGTCTGGATGTCTGGATCACAAGAAGGTATGGATACTACTGCAGTAGCAACTTAACCCGCTCAATTGGGGCTACCGCTGTCTTGGAAATGGCTGCCACCACACCACCTATCATGGGGTCCTTCCCAAAGGAGACAGGATCAAAAAGCTGCTTTCCCTCTGTGGCCTGCATGCTGTTGATCACGTAGCGAGGGACCTCTGGGTGGAACTAGAACCTCCAGTTCTCAATTTGGAAACAGCAGTAATAATATCACAGATTGTGGGAATGTTCTCATAATAAATCAGTCAAATATTCTACATACATAGTAAAAGTGACATTAAAAAGATGCAGTTTTGATTGAAAAGTGTGAGTTTGACCACAAAACTTACTTTTATGGTGTCATAACATCCAAAATAGGACGCTCGATATACAATAATTCCCTGTACTGAAACACCAAATCCTTGGTATAGGCCAGTAACACCATCTTTTTTTGCAATTTTAGCAATACAATCAGCAAGGCCTGTGAACTGTCGCTCTGAAGCACCTAAATGAAATGGTGAGGGGAATAAAATTTATCCAGAACAACTAGACAGCACTGGCATTTTGATATATTTAAAGAGGCAACATACCGGTTTACTTCAAACCTTTACTGTACAAAAATTCCTAACACATTTGTTTTGGAACCATCAAACTAATTTGTGCCATTTTCTATAGCATTTATAATCACAAAAACAGAAACACAAAAACAAACCTAGTTACAAAGTGTAGTCAACTTACAAAATAGGCATATTTTATTTTCTTCATTACACTTAGTTAAAAAGGGCCTTAGCAGACAATTGAATCATAGAACCACATTTGTTTTACACAGCAAAACCATATACAAAAAATAGTAACTGTACAAATATATACATAGATTCGGGAACATATCCCATTGAGTTCAATGGGGCTTTCTCCCAGGTAAGTTGGCATACAATAGCAAACCCAAGAGAAAGCTAGGGACACAATCCTATGGCCACTACACACTGTCTAGGAAGCCTCAGAAGAAGCTGATGCCCCAGCTGTGATCTCAGAAACATGCTCCGAGGTCAGAGGTGGGATTCTGAAGTTCAGTCATTATCTTCCAATCCTCCCAACATGAAAGAACCACACTGGCTACCCTGAGATTACAGGAGTGACTTTGGAAATGAAGTTTTATTGGTGCTCCAGTGGGCAGGGAGGAGAAAGGAGTCACCAGCATGGATAGTATCCTGGAGATGCTTTCGTTTCTTCACCTTGAACTCCATGGCAAAATGGTTACATGGCTGATTGTGCGGGGCAGAAGTGCAGTGCTCTTCTCCTCCATAGGATGTCCAAATTTTGTCCATAGGATTTTCCAAATTTGGAGCATTGCAGGCAGCTTCACTGGTTTGTGCTGTCCACAAACTACACAACTTTGCTACCAGACATATACAAGAACTCAACAAACACCTGGAAGTTCACAGATGCTTGTCAGGCTATCTTTAGATTGCAAATGTGTAAATTAATGTACCAAAAAAAATCAGCACATCATGGAGTTTGCTCAGGTACCCCCCCCCAGTGTGTGTGTGTGTGTGTGTTTGTGTGTGTGTGTGTGTGTGTGAGAGAGAGAGAGAGAGAGAGAGAGAGAGAGAGAGAGAGAGAGAGAGAGAGGGAGGGAGAGAGAGAGATCCAAAGTGACTAGCATCTGGCCACACAACTATACCATTAGAGTGGCAGCTTTGTGATACTTTCAGATTCAAAGCAGCATTCTACAGAAAATCAGTTGTTGAAGAGCTACAAAAAACAACAGGCCACACTAGTGAACTCTGCAAAGGCAACTGGTCACCACTGTAAGAAAGAGAATGCTGGACAGATGGAATTTTGGCCTGATTCAGCAGGATTCCTATGTTGTGAACACTCTCCCCCCTTTCCAAATAACACAGTGTGAATCTTGCCTTTTCCTTATGTATCAATAACAACAGGAAAATATCTGTCAGTCTGGGCACACCTTTAAAATACTGCTGAAATGAAGTCCTTACCTTTTCCAATGTCAGCACCTAATCGAGTCCTTGCAAAGTCTAATGGATACACTACACACAATGAAGTTGCCCCAGCTGCTCCACCAGAAGCCAAATTTGAAATAAACCACCTCCCAAACTGTAATGGAAAAACATAATATGTTCAAACACAGAGTTCAGTACCATGGTTTCATTTTTTCCTGATAAATATCTGTGAAGGGCTATGATGAAACAGGTTTCAAATAGTCTGAATTTCCTACATTCCACAGGATCAAATGTAAATATTAGCAAATGTCCAATGTCTTGTAAAATGATGGCAACACTCAAATTTGGGGATTCTAGGCTTGACTCTCTTCTTACCCATTCTCCCAATACCCCCTCTGTTTTTTTGTTTTTGTTTCTGTTTTTGCAAAAACTACACTAGAACAAGTGATAGCGTCACATATGAAATCATTTTTAGGCCAGTCTTCTTCAACTTGGTACACCCCAGGACTTCAGTTTACATCTGCCAACCAGCACGGACAAGTCAGAAATTCTGGGAGTTGTGCTCTAAAATGTCTGGAGGGTACTAGGTTGGAGAAGACCATCTAAAACTGGTTTTACACAGCATCCTAAAACTTGGGCAATGCTATTTTAGGCTTAAGCTGCTACTTGATTTCTTTCACAAATACCCATTCTGAAAATAACTTGAATACATGACTAACTTTTGCAAGTGGTGTGCCAAAACAAAGGAGCCCAGCCCCATGCAATGACTCAAGACAGAAAAGCAAACCTTTAACAATTGCCAGATGATCATGCTGCTTTATTGTTTTCTATGCCCTACATGCAGTTCTTATAGATTCTGAAGCAATTTAGCATGCACTACTCTTAGTCCTGAAACATTCAGGAAAGATAGAGGCAATACAAGTATAAAGATTGCAGAAGCAGGCCATAACTATGGAAGCAGTCATTTAGATCACATTCCAATTGAAATTTTTACCAGCCTCAAAACTTAGATGCTGACAATCATCCAGTGCAGAGTGTAAGGACTGGTAGAGGCTATTTTGATTACTTCACCCCTCCCACCCTGCATTTTTACTAGATGGCTGTTTTTGGTCATCCAGCTGGGGCACTTGGAAGAAGCAGCAACGGAGGCTGCAAGGGACACAAAACAGGATTGCTCCTGACTACAAAGGTACCATTCATCTAAAGCTTGGGTATAAAAGAGCCACAAAATTACTGCCGCAGTGCCTTTATTTTGAAATAAAGTTTAAAATACATTAATGCTCTTACACAACCACAAAGAAAGCAATAATTCTTATTTTATATTTCCTTATTCATATTTTATATTCCCTGATTTTCTTATTTTATATTTCCCACATATATTCAGCACTCTATGTCAGTATCAGATGAAACAGAAGGTAAGTGAATTCCAAAACATTTTTTTTAATATAATGACAAGGTTTTGAATCACTCCTTTTAAAAGCAAACTCAGTTGTTGAGTCTCCACACAGATGAAGCCAAACAGAACCACTGAGAAACAAAAGGATGTTATTGGCATGTGTGGGGAAATTCAGTGTTTGTAGAAGTGCAAAATATCTTTAGTAAATAAACCCTGAAGAACAGAAACCAGGGCAGTGGTCGTGATGGTGATAGAGTCTGCGTGCATGCTGGCAGATTCTGCAATAGCAGGAGAGAAAATCTTTATAAAATCCATGGCAAGAGATGTAGCCGTTCATTCTCACCCTAGGGAGAGGAGCTGATGCACTGCTCACCTAGGTGCTTGGCATTACTGTGCACCCCTACTGTAACACTGATTTCAATAAATAACGTATCAATCTCTGACACAGGTGGTTTGTTTCTTCCTAAGTATCCTCAAATCTAAAGTGAGGTGCCTTGACTGGACCTCACTTCAAGCCCTGGGGTTAAAACAAGAGGAAATATGCTATCTCCAAGGCCAGAGTATGTATTGTATGGGTCACTGTCTCTTCTATGAACTGCTTATTGAAACTTGCATGAGTAGACACTTCTGTATAATTAAACAAACCAAATGATTTGGGACACATGTGTACTTCCCCCACATAAACCAAATATTAGACCCCATTTACCTGCTTTTCTTTATCCACTCCAGACATGAATATCTGTTTGTATTTGTCCTTAAAAGCAAAGTTTAGAGCCTGAGTTGGGAAATATCGGATGACATTGGCAAGATTGCCACGCCAGAAACTCAGAAATCCTACAGATAGAAGATTCTAAAATGAACAGTTTGTATTCATTAGTTTTTACTGCATGACATTTTTATTATTTCAAATTGTTCAAGTTATTTCAATACATAATAGACTAAAGGGGGATCTGACCACAAAACCCAGTCCTTTGAGCACACTGTTCACTCAGCATTCAGGATCACCCCACAAACTCTACTCACTTAGTATCCAGTATTACTTTCCTTCTTACAGCACCCCTCCTGCAAACATGCTAGCTCTCCTCCCACATGCAAATCCCTTCCCTGTTATCTCTTCCTGCTACCACCTACTCTGGATCACACCACAGCCTTTCCTAAACCTTCCCATTGCTTCTCACAGTACAACCCAGCTGTGAACTGCCAGCTTCTTTCTGGGGTCAGCCTCTCTGCCATAGCTCCCCTCTCCCTTCTCCGACTCAATTTGATTACCTGCAGTCCCACTACAGCAGGAGACTGAGCAGCAGGGAAGGGCAGCACACACGATCCTCCCCCCCCCCCGCCAACTGTATGATTCTGTTAGCCTGATAGTGCCCAAGCCACCAGAAAGGCTCAAATTAGCGGAGAAAGTATTACAAAAGGGACAAAAATATAGAACGCTGTAACTGGCAGAGAACCAGTGTGGTGCAGCGGTTAAGAGCTGGGACTGGGACTCAGACGATCTGGGTTCTAGTCTCCGCTCAGCCATGGAGCTAACTGGGTGACTTTGGGCCAGTCACAGACTCTCAGCCCAACCTACCTCACACGGTTGTTGTTGTGGGGATAAGATGGAGGAGGAGATGTAAGCTTCCTTGAGCCCTTTGTAGGAAAAAGGCAGGATAGAAATTGAAAAATAAATAAATAAATAAAATGTTCTTACATAAGTCTGCATGTCCACCTTGAGAGGAATTTCTGAATACCTCATGAAAAAAATTAGGATAATAGCCAAGAAGAGCAAGAAAGCTACGCATGAGACAAAGTACACCTTTTTTCCATGGGACAAAAAGCTAAAAAGGCTCCATTGGTTGAAGTGAACCCTAGATAATCGAGCCCATGTACTTTGGAGTGTTGGAGAACATCTAGAGCAGATATGAAAGGGATGCAGGGGGGCAGGTGTAGTGGTGGGAAGAGTTTTGCCAGTGAATGTTAGATGGAACTCATGGCCAAGAAAAATAGTAGCAACAATTTTGTAATACATCTCAGAGTTTGATGCATCTGTAAAAATGGTTAAAAACACCTGAACAAATCCAGCATAAGTTCACAGATTGTAACAAAAAATTGAGGAAGAAAGCTCAGGTCATCCATTATGGTATGTTGGGTGTTAGTAATGCTGTAAAGAACCAACTCAGGAGGGAAAAAGGTAGGAAATGGAGCTCTGTTGGCTGACTGTGATGCATGCTGAAGCATGTGTATCTGTCAGAGAGAAAACCTAGCCTCAGTGAGCTGCTGCCTTCACACCATTAAGCTGCTTTCAGGTTCTTACATTTGAACCACCAGAGGGGGGTGCCAAGACACTTCCAATAAGGCTCAGAAGCTTTGCAGTCATATTTGATGGATCTATGCAGCAAGTTTTTAATAATCATATCCTCTAAGCACTGTATAATTGCTTTAGACATCTTGATAATTGAGTTGTTAAGGATAACATTGTGTGGTGCCTTACTAAGTGGAAACTAAATCATAAAAGGGGACTAGAATACAGAGATAGTGGAGGTGATAGACGGCTTAAGTAAAACATAGATGTTGAAGAAAGATTTAAAGGGGCTGTGCAATATGAAACAGATCTGGATTTAAATTCCAGCATAGCTCAAAAGAGAATTTCAAATAAAAAAGAAATCACAGGAGAAGAATGAAAGGACAACTGGAGATGCTTGAAGCCCTGAGAAGTAGTAGTCTCATTACAGGAATGTAACAAGAGTTGGAATATAGTGCCAGAATAAGCAGTATGGATCCTTGTGGGAGAGTTCATGGAAAGGGAAAAGTAAGAAAAAAACTACTTAAAAGCTTGGTATAATCAAGGAGGCAATATATGCATTATTATTTTATGGACTGAATTTAGAACAGTGAGAAGGGGGCCAACACAAGGAAGAGACAAAAGACAGCTAAAGCTACAACAACCATAATTTTGGCAAGAACAAAGAAGAAAATAGCAGTAAATGAATGATCTGTATTTTGTGATGGCTAATGGAACTTCCGAACATTAATTTCCGTCAACCGTGAACATTATATTTGACCACAGAAGTTCATAACAAGATTTTAATACAAACTGGCTTATCAGGTGGTTCCAATGTATTGAATAACTAAGCACTTAAACTGAGGGTCTATGTGATGTTGTAAACAACACTATGTGATGTTGTTTACAGGGCTTGCTGATGCCTGGTTTTTCTTTAGCAGATACCTAGTACATAAGTGGGGGAATCCTTTGGCCCTGCCATGGCTACAGTTTGAACCAGCACTTCACCTTCATGTCTGTTATTAGCAAAGGGAGGTAGACTCCCAGACTCTGACTGGCATCAATAGGAGCCTTCCACCCATCACAAAAGTGGATGTGCCCCCCTTTTGAGGAACTACACCAGGAGCTAGGAGTTTGAGCCCTGTACCCCTAGAAAAAGAAGAAAAAGAAAACTCAGCCCTACACTAATAAACCATGTGTAGTTTGCCCTTATGGTGATAGGAAAGTATGGGTTCTAAATGGTTGCCATGTGGATACAGCTGTATGAAAGATCAGGTGGTCACTAAAATTCAAAGGTGGCTCAGCTTCCCCACTCCTAGGTCAGAATCAGAGGAAAATTGTCAAGTGTGGAATCCACAACTATTATTCCAGGAGGAGCAAAATACAATTTCAACAGTCAAGCACTAGAGATGGGAAGTAAAAACAGGTTAAGATTGCAATCTTATGTACTTGATATTAAGTCACACTTAAGTTAATAGGAGTTATATCCAAGAAGACTTGTACAGGATCATGCTGTGGGCATGGAACAGTGGGCTTTATTTCTGCTAGCTAAACTGTAAGTCACTACAAATACATTTTAAACAACATCTGCTGGTATCTATTTATTCAATATGCATTCTTATTCAATAAAGTCTGAGAAAAGTTTCAGTAAAACATATTCTCCAATAAGTGTGGCCAGTATTGCAGCTTATGCACTCAGAATCAGCAAAAACTGAGAGAGCACAAATAATCATGTGGTCCTTTCCAGAGAGGATGGATACCCTGCAGGGAAAATCCCTGCTTTGGTGCATGGGGTATCTGTTTTAGTTGAAGTATTAAGAACATATCTAAAGGAAGGTTTTTTTTAAGAAATCAATATTTATCCAGTTTATACATTTAGATGGGCAGCATGAATTCAGCAGTCAGAGAAAGTGGGACTATACAACATGCCAGGGTCACAGAAAAAATCAGGAGTGGTTGAAAATGGTGACACCATGGGCAAAATACGAATGGGAACATTCCCATAATGAAGATAATGCCTTCAAAAGAGAAGGAAAAAAATGGAAATGTCTGAAAAAGTAGGGAGACTGCAAAAGCACTTGGGCACACCTTTATTTGGGATAATGCATAAGTGTTTATACAGGGCTGAATGTTCAAAGAACACACAATCAGCTTTAGGGCAACCCCCAAAGGTAGTTCAGTGTGATTATTTTCATCAGGAGGCAGGCAAACGGAGGCTAACCCAAGAGATTGCTGACCATTCACGGAATAGGTGAGATTTAAGCCAGGCCTTCCTCCACAACACAGCAACTCTCCAAGGAGGGCTAGTCTTTAGGAAAGACATACCTTGTTCCCGAGGGATGCGCACAAAGCAGTCTATCATGCCTTTGTACTGCTGATCCGCACGGATCTGTTTGGACGAGGCCTGGACCTGCAGCAGCAACTTAACCCGCTCAATTGGGGCTACCGCTGTCTTGGAAATGGCTGCCGCCACACCACCTATCATGAGGTCCTTCCCAAAGGAGGCAGGATCAAAAAGCTGCTTTCCCTCTGCGGCCTGCATGGTGTCGATCACGTAGAGAGGGAGCTCTGGGTGGAACTAGAACCTCCAAGCTGCATCACCTAGCACCGAGCAACACTTCCAACTGCCGCTGCTCAGAAGGAGCCAGTGGATTCCCCTCCCCCGCCAGGTCAGATGCAGGGCTTCCCAAGCCACATGATCAAGCAATGCCCAATCACAGCCCCCCCCCCCCCCCCGCTCACAGCATCCCCTTCCAAGGAAATCCCTGGGCCATCTGGAGATGGAGGTAGAGGTCTTGGCTTAGCAACCAAGTCTTAGCTAAGGCCTGGAAAACTGGGGCAAGTTTCTTCAAGCTGCCCCTGCTAAACTTTAACAAGTGCTCAAGCGTCAATTCCTGATCCTTAAAAGGATAAATTTGGCTGGCAAGACATCACTTGAGGATTTGGGAAGAAAATCCTCAGGCTTGCCAATGGGAAGCTGCAACGCTCTCTATTCCTGCTAAATTCAGCGCTTCTACTTGATTTTATTTTATGGAAGAGCCATTAGCAAGGTTTTGGTTTGAGTAAAATCGTGAAGATAGTTTAGTCTATGAGTAATGCAGAATAATGTATGAATTTGGTGATTTATTTGTATGTTTAAAAGAAATTTAGCTGTTGGATTTACATTACTGCCTAAAACATGTTTCAATAGTAAGATGAAATTGCAAGTATGAATGTGTGTAATACCTGGATATTAAAAATCAGTTCTTCTAAGAGCATGGTGACAATTTTAAAAACAGAAGGTGAGAAGGAATTTGAGACCATTCCAAAGATCCAGTGTGTCTCAATATGAAAAGAAAAATGTAGTAAATCAGGGGTGTCAAACTCAACTTACCTGGGGACCGCTGGAAGTAGAGTCTGGGTGAGGCTGGGCCTCATCAAGTATTCCACCACCGCGGTGGTGGTGGGCCGCTCATCCGGAGGCCGGCCCAGGTGCCGCCTTCGCTTTGAAGGCTCTAGGGCCCCTCCCCCATGCCCTACCTGTCCCGGCAATTGGCCCGCGGGCCACGAGTTTGAGACCCCTGTAGTAAATGGTTAATTGTAAGGTTTAACTATATTGGTTGGGTGCTAAAGACTCCACCACTCAAGAATATGCTTGTGTTTTACTCCAGTGTTCTTATTCAATGCAGTTTGTTTTATTCTTCAGTGAACATGTTGTGATTTAGGCCTACAAAAGGGAGTAGAATTAGACTTCCTTTAAAAGTCAAGTTCTTAACCAAATAAGTGAATGTCTTTAACAAAGGCAACACACTGTGAAAAACACGTAAGAGGGTTGTTGTACTGACCCTCCCCATTCCAAAATGATTGATTAAAAGCACCAGGAATACTGGCTTTGCATTCATGTTTTGTGTGCTGATATAGGGGGAATAAGATTGACACTTTACCCTGGCACCATTGAGAATGTATTGGTAACTCTGAGTACAGAATCATAATTTGTATCTAGAGAGCTGTTGTGGAATGAGATTAGTTTCCTTGCACTCAGCAACCTAATATTAATTTACAAATGAGAACATTACTATTGCTCCTTTGTGATGTCTTAAATGATCAGTCGTGCGTAGACTACACAGTAAATGTTTGTCAAAAACTCTAGTATTTACAGTGCATTGGATGTCTAGAATCTTAATTAAAACACAATATACAAGTCTATATTGTTTCCTTCTGTATTATTACATTATGTTTATACATTGCTTTTCCCCCTCTTGTAAAGAACTCAAGGCTGCATATATGAGCCTCTTTCTTTCAGTTTTATCCTTACAACCTGGATAAAAGGTGGGTTAGGCTGAAAGTCAGTAACTGGCCCAAAGTCATCCAGTCAGAAACTAGAACTTAGATTTCACATCTCTTAAACCAGCGCTCTAATTACTACATTGCACTGACTCTCAAAACTCTGGAGAGTTCACAAAATGCTTTAGGTCATGACTAACTTGACTGCATTGATTTCACAGGGTCTACTCTGAGTACAACTTATGGCTGGTTCCAACCCAATAAACTGACATCAAATTCTCTAGGTTTAATTTTTAAAATACCGTTACATATATGCAAGGGATTTTATGCAGTAGGTATATTTTTACAGTCACTGAAGTGTTGAAGATAACATGCCTTCTAATGACCTCAAAGAGTTTTATACAATTATCCTTTGGCAGATAGGAACATTTGGCATGACCACAGTTAAATTTCAGATGGAAGAATTTAAAAATATCTAATGATAACTTTAATGGAAAAAAGGCACTAAAAGTGCCCCATAAGGTTAATGGGGCTATTTCTTCTGATGATTTGAGGTTCAGCACTACAGCATCTGCTTCTAAGTTTTATGTTAAAACACTGACATTTCCATTCCCTTGTGAAACCAGGCCTGAAAAGCCCCCTTTTCTGAGGACAAAACTAGACAGACCACATTCACATGATTAGCAGTAGACAAAAATCAGGATCTCGCTTCTTAAATTGGGCAAGCTTGTTTTGTTTTGGGTTTTTTGTGTTTTTTCTTTTTGCAGTTTGCCCCCTGCTCTGGTCATCTCAGGCATTGGGAACCTATTAATTGTACTGGAATAAAAATTCCGGCTTAGGAAGGAGGCAGAGGAGTCTGCATTGGGATTGCACTGAGTCAGAAAGGGTTACAGCCCCATATGGTGGGAGGGATAATTGGTTTTTATTGTATGATATTTATCGTATTAATTGGGTTGATATGTTTTTATTATATGTGCTTTATTCTTTTATATGATTTTTCAATATGCAAACCACCCTCTAAGCTGACGGATAATGAAGAAATGTAATAATAAATATATTTGGATCAAGCTCCCTGGACCTATTTACTAAAAAAAACAAAAAAAGGCATTCATGAAATGGTTGATTAGGCGAATGTCTTGTTTCATGTGGCCCATAAAACCTGGAGAGCCACTGCTAGTTAAAATTGACACTATTTGGCTCCCTGGAAGTGGTTTGATAGTATCATGCAAATCAATATATCTAATGAAAAACTGCTTTATAACTCCAATAAATGACTTTATAACTTAAACAAGTTCATGATGGGATTCCTAAACATTTTTGCTCTCATACTTATATGTTTAAAACTACTTTTTTACCTACAAAGAGTAACATGTCAAGTGATATTAAACAGTGCCAAAAAGTATGAAAGAATGTAAAAATACAAGGGGTACATTGTTGATTTGCAAATGTATTTACTGTTAAAAAAAATACAAAAATAGTTTATACAACATTTTTGAAACCATTAAGTTCCTTCTTATGCTTGCTTGCAAAAGAATCTACAAAATATTTTTACTTTGTAACAAGTAATTTACAACAATTTTTAAAAATTTATATTATATCTAACATCACTTTGTGTTACAAAATATTATAGCCCTTTAAAGTAAAGTTGTCCTCCCTCCTTTATTCTGCAAGTAAAAAAAATGCAATGTTTTTGCTATCTGTGAATGTTTATTGCCAGAATTTTAAACATGCCACAGAGTGAATTGTATACAATATAGTACATATTTAACAAAACAATATCCATTGCGTAAATTCAGAAGAGCACATGTGGGTCTGTGTTCTCTTTATTTTCTGGAGGTGCTTGAGGAAAGTTTGAGAGATTTTTGAATTTTCCAAGAAAGAAACAGCTCTGGGAAAATATAGATGAACATATGCTTGACCTTACATAAACTGATGTGTATAAAGTTTGTCACTATGTATAAATAATCACAACTCACAATACACTTTAAACAAGTTTGAAAAGTCAGTCTTCTTAGAGGAATCACTGTTGTTATAAATGTTTGAAAAGTTATTCCATCAATGAGGGTGTTCTAGCAGAACACTTCAAATAGTGCCCAGGAGAAAATAATAATTTAATTCATATTTGTGTGCCTTAAATGCCTTGGGAAGTTTACAGCTCTGCTCATGATAGCTGTATAGCCAAATACAGCTATAGCGCTAAGCCAAAGGATAGCTTAAAAGCCATTTCAACAGCAATCTCTGTGACTGAGTCATGAAAACAGACATAAAACTCCCGGGGCTTTGGATCTAGGAAGAGTCTCCTGCAGAAGAAACAAATGTCAGTGTCAGAGGGAGGTCTTTAGACTATTCTAAAACATTTTCTATTTTTTAGAGGCTTACTAAAGAGGTAAAGGTGGGACAAGCATCCATCAGAACTAATGAAATAATTCCAAAAGCACCCATTAAGATTTTATAAATACTTTTTTCTAGGTATAAATATGCACATTAGATCCAATCTTTATTACATTTCCTGTACTATGTAGTACAAATGTTAGCACAAAATAGACATGCTGGGGAAGAAGCCAAGACAACTCATGTGAATGCTGTATGTGCTGAATTACAAGGCTTTCACATGAGATTGCATCAAGATGGTTTTGGAGATTTGGTCAGTGTATAAAAACATGTTTGCAGGAAAACAGCCAGGTAGTATATTCACTTACCCCACAACCCAGTACATTATAGTTGGTGGGGGTTTCTTTTGGTCAGTCCAATTGTCAGGAGAACATTCAAACAACACTCCATGTTCTTTCACTTGATGTGTGCCAGGATTTGCTTTTTTGGATTCTGAACTCCCCGTCCTTTTACTCTTCAATAAAAATCAATATATAGATGATTAATGAAATCTGAATTTATACTATGGACAAAGAATAGGAAAATGACATTTACTGGCTGTTATTATCCATAAAATTAGCAAATCAGCAATGTAGTTTTTATATCTGGAAATTTAATCTTGATAAATAGCTACCCAGTCAACTACAGCAGGACTTTGAGAAAGTTTCAAACCCAGAGGTAGAATGTATTTCTGGTGATTTCTTAACTGAATGTTTACTTCCAGACATAAACGTCAAGCTAGGAATGTTGCCACAGCTGTGATATAAATGTTGAAGAGCTATGAAAAAAAAATGAGCATTGAATATATTTATTGGTTGGCTTTCTGACTAAAATTAACAGTTGAAATGCTTTGCTTGAACCACATTTCACCCACTTTGTTCAGCTCTTAGCTTATTCCAAAAAAGTTTATATTTGTGTTATTTTAAAACATCATATAAGCACATGTCTATTTTTGACATAACTACATGCAACAAACTTGAGATAAAATTATATATAGTAAAAGTGGTTTCAGTTCTTAGGCAACGGTACTGGGCTGAAGTCCTAAAACTAGGGACCAAGTCTTTTTGGTGTATCCAGCATAAATTTTTAACATGTCCCCCTTCTATACATTTACCACAATCCCAGGCCACACTAGAATCCCATAAATCAGGAAATGTTTGTTTTAAATTCTGAAACTGCATTTTCCTCATTTCTGAAATTACATCAGGGCCATTTCTGGTGATGGCAGTATAGTGTGTGTATTTGTCCATACATGCTTGGACCTGGCTAAGAGGAAGAGTTCCAATAAAGGGAAGTACAGCAGCATGGGTCAGATGTAAGCAGGCCACAACAACCATATCTTTTCTTGACTTCATGATGGTAAAATTAGTTCTTCCAGAGAGATACATTTCTGTGTCTCAACTCATAGTAGCCTGGTTCAAAGAGAATAAACCATGGCTGCTTCTTACAAGAACAAGTACACAGAAAACCTTAGGTTCACATATTCCTGCTCTCCTGTTTCCTTCCTGCCCAAGAAAAGATGACTAGAAATTTTAGCCTTTGGATAAAATGTAATCTCTAGCATGGAAATGATGTGCCTGTACAAGCCTGGTACCTGTGGCTTATACTTAGCAAGCAATAGTTTTGCTGTATCTGACCAAGGGCAGTGTATGTTAAGATACAACATAGAATTTGAACTGTGTGCAAAAACTAGCTCTACCATCACTGAAATCAAGACATTTACTCAATAGGCATTTATTTTACTAATACAATGCACTCACTGGCAAATGACAATGTAAGATGTCCAAGTTATGTGGTAACTTTGTCTTCAGAGTGCAATCAGCTTTCTCTACATGCTGTCTTAAATTTTTGAGTCAGACATATCAAATAACAGCCTCTATGTGTTGTAAACTGTCCAGAGAGCTTAGGATATTGGGTGGTATAGAAAAACATAAATAAAATCAATTTCTCCCTTTCTAACGTGAAAAGACATGCACTAATTCTCAAACTCAAAGGACTTACTTCCAAGTAGACATGTTTAGGATTACACTGTTAGTAAGAAAATAATTAAATTCATACTTTTCTCATAGTTTGCTGGAAAATGGAGCGGATTGAAAGACAGCAGCGGTGAAAGTTCTTAATAAGTTGAGGATGGATCGTTCCACAGAGCTGTGTTACTTCAGCATGTGTTGGAGTGATAAAAATTCCATGCATTGTTTCTAGAGAAATATAGTGGAAGAGGGTGTTCTCAGGACCAGATGTCAGCCTTCAAGAACAAAAGAAAACAGCTACTTGACCACATCCACATTAAAATGAGAAATACTACTATGCAAAGCAAACCTGCCACAAGATATAGAAAAACAATGACTACTAAGGACTGTCTTGTAATTGGGTCACATCAAACATTACATATGCAAATGCCAGCTTACACAAGTGTCCTTTCCCTCCTTCCCTTTCATTCTCCTCGGACTTGTGCCAGAGTGTCCCCTAGTCCACTGCAGAAATTTGAAGAATGAATGGGAAAAGGGAATCTGTTCCTCTAGCTGTGTCCATTTTGCTGGCAAGAAACTTCCACTAATAATTATTAACAAACTTTCAGCTATTTTGTACAAAAGCAATGAAATTAAATTCTTAACTGTAATGAATTACAACAATCCTTTACAAATATATAAAAACGTAAGTGACACTGCATATTTTTACACCAAAATCCCAGGGAAACTAGCATAAAATTGCTCCTACACCCACAAAGCTTAACTGGAAAGGCAAAAAAAAAAAGGAGGGGGACTTCCTATATACATGATACAAGACAACTGTTTGCAACTGATAAGTAGATGTACAAATGACACCAGTTAGTAACAGCTCAATTCAACTATAAAGATGGACAGCAACCTACACAAATGCATTGAGGAATCAATCACACTCAAAGAATTCCTAACTGGCTAGCATTCTAACCTTATTTTTATCTACTTGTACTCATCCTCACCAAACAACTCCAAAAATATTTAAATAAAAAACCTAATGGAAAATGTGGCGTTAGCAAAACACAGAACTACTTACTTCATAATGTTATACAGTTCACTTTCCTTATCTGAAAGATTCTTTTTCAAGGTTCCTAAATTAAATGGATTTGGAAGAATATTCTTTTTAGTGATCTGAAAAAGAAGCAGACAGACATGTAAAAGTACACCATAAGAGTATGAGTACCCAAAGACTCATTTAAATTCTAAAGTATAGAGGCGCCCCACCCCGCAAAAAATTAAGCTGCCTCAGCAATTTGTGCCCTTTGTACAATGTACATTTATACCCTGAACTGGAAGTATTAAATGATGAACCATTAGACATTGCTGTTGTGCCTGGTTGTTGTCCTATGGTTGTTGTTAGATTGCTTGTTTTATAGTATTTTATAAGTGCATTGTTTTATATTGTTCTTATGAGTAACTTATGAATTGTGTTTATGATCTTAATATTTGTAAACCACCCACAGAGCCCATGGGGTGGTATATAAAAGTAATAATAAAATCTGAAACACTATCTTTTTATTATTTATTTATTTTTATTTTATTTAAAGTTTTTATATGCCATGTCATTACTAAAAGTCTCTGGACAGCGTACAAAGAACAAAAAACCAAAGAACAGAACAAACCAGAACAACAACACACTGCATGATTTTATGATGATAAAACCATTCTTAAGTCTAAAACCTTTCAGGAGTTGAAGAACCAACTTCAATAAAGCTTTTATCACAAACTGATCTGATTGATAACTGCTTATCAGATAGGGATAGCAGCATAAAGTCATATTCTATACTTTTAATAAGCTATGTTGATTGGATTTAATGTTTATATGTGCTTCCAGTTATTCAGTTTTTAATCAGAAGTATGGATTTTACCACAAGTTATTGCAGTGTGGAAGTCCTTGTAGGAAAGAAGCTGGGAGAAGAAATAGGTAGTTCAACCATGGGGCTGCCTCAGCATGTCACTGGCCCAACACATGAAAGGATCGTACTCTGGACCTTTTCTTTTTAAGGGAGGGATTTGACATTAACCCCTTTGTCATGGTCATATTGCCTTCTCATGAGGTTTAAACCTGGGACCAGCTTTCCCCTCTGTAAGGGTGTGGACCCTATTAAAAGGATCTTATGGATCCTGATGGATTCCTGAGGGCTCTTGGGGAATTTCTGGTTGATAGGACTGATGTTCCTGTCAACACCCTAGTTGATTTGTGGAATGGGGAAATGACCAGGCTGACTGACACAATTGCTCCTAAGTGTCCTCTCCTGCCATGCAGAGCCCATGCAGCGCCTTGGTACATGCCTGAGCTGCAGGCAATGAAGCAGGCTGGGAGACAACTGGAGTGTAGGTGGAGCAAATCCCAGGCCGAATATGGCCAAACACTTCTTAAAGCTCATTATTGAGCCTATGCTGTGGCAGTGAGGGCAGTGAATGTGTATCTCAGTCCAGGAAGTTGCCAACGCCTCTCTGAGGGATGGTCAGCCCCCTGCCCCATTGAAGAAGGTGGTATCAGGCCCATCCTGAAGAGGGCAAATCTGGACCCAGAGATGGCCACCAAATATAGACCCATGTTGCAGAATTTTTTTGGGGGGAGTAAGTCTTGCTTGTTTATGTGGTAGGAAATGGTTTCAAGCAGCCTTCCCCAACCTTGTGCCTTCCAGACACATTTGGACTGCAACAGTGGGCCATTGACTAGGAATGTTGGGAGTTGTGGCCCAAATGCCTCTGAAGGCCACCAGGTTCCAGAAGGCTGGCTTAGAGGTTTCCTGAAAGGGAGTAAGACTGGAGATGTGCAACCTAAGTATGCATCACTTCCTCTCCTTCCATTCAGGAAATACGTGTACTTCTAAAATTTTGTTAAGCTTTTGGGCAATACAATGGTAAACATAATTTTAAGGTGCTTTTTTTGGTAAAGAAAAAGAGTAGTACCTTAAAGGGACTATTGCTTCCATCAAATCCACCAGGAACTTTGGATTGTGTAGAATTTAGATTAAAGTTTCCACTTCCTCCTTCAAGACCATCACAACCAGCCTCAGAACCCCCACTATTCCTTGAAGGACTACATCTGCGTGTTTTTAAGGCAGAGTCATTGAAAGATTTTTTTTTGCTTGCTAGAGAAGTTATGGTGTTTGGTGCATGACGTAGTTTGTTGAACAGAGGCAAATTAGCCAAGCTCTCAAATTTGTCACGTGATGAAGGGAGGAACCAGTCTACACATGTCACTAACGGAGTAGAAGGAGATTCTAATTTCTCATCTATATGGATATCAATTCCATCTAACTGAAGGATAGTTGCTTTGACCTGATCCACATATATGTAGTCTGGTCCTGGATTTCCAATGGCTTTGGAAGAACAACCTCCTGCTTCCAGCAAAACACTCAACATAAAATGTTTCTGTAAGCAACAAGAAATGAAAAATATTTTTTCCAGTGATTTTAAACATGTATAACTCATTTTTCTATTTTTCAGTTCCTAACCCATGTATGCAAATATCCTAAAATATCAGAACTAATTTAGGAAGCACTGCAACTAACAGACAACAGTCATCAAAAATGTTTGAGACACAGGAAAAGTTTTAATTTGTTCTCTAAAAGAAAATAAACCACCTCTGTTGACAGACATTTCAAATGGTATGAATAGAAAATAAATGGTCATAAATGTGGAACTCCTAGAACATGCTCATTTCAGCACCCATTTTAATCAGTTAACAACATAAAAACAAAGTTGTATTCATGCCAAACTTACCAAACCAACTATGAGCAAAAAGTATCTTGCTTTGGGTTCACTGTATCCTTCGTAAGATGTTTTACATGCCTGAAGATGATGATGTGGAAAGACTTCTCGCCATATTACTAACTGACCAATTCGCTGTTCTGCTGCCAAGGGCAAAAGGCAATAATGCCTGCTATATAGTGCAATGTCAATGAGATCCTCCTTTGGCAAATGACTACTAATTAAATATCCCTGCATTAAAAACAAAGAGACAGCATAGGCTTAAAATATTGTACACTAAGTAATGCCTAACACCCCAATAACAAAATCTGTTTACTTTGAGCGAAATCAATGTAATAGCAACAGGATCATTCAATACAAGAGTAGAGTTAAACTTTTCCTAATTGGCCATCAGGAAAAGAAATACTTAATACTGTTGTCTTAATTAGCATCATTTAATTTTGTTAGAAGAGAGTAGCTCTCCTGCATGACGACTGCTTACATCATGCACATCTTGATTAGTACAGAAAACATTGCTACATGTAGTGAACAGATATTTTTATCAAAATGTTAATGAAATAACCTTTATACAAGTCCAAACTTCTATAAGAACACATAAAGAAGTGTGCCAGATTGGATCAAGACCCATCTAGTTCAGCATTATGTTGGCACACTGTCTAAACAGATACTTATGGGAAATCCACAATGAGGCTATGAACGCAACACTATTATCTCTCTCATGCTCCCCAGCAACTGCTATGAAGCATACTGCCTCTAATAATTGAGGTAGTATATAGTTACCATGACTAGCAGCTACTGATAAGCCTAATCTTTCATTCATTTGTCTAATTAATGAAAGCCATTAATTCAAAGCCATCTAAGCTGGCAGCCATTCTTACAATATTATGGTGGTGAACTACACACTTTACTAAAGTGCTATTTGAACTAGCACTCCTTTTGTCTGTCTTCAGCTTTATTGGATGACCTTTGGTTCTATTTTCTCCATACCGTGATTTATGCATGGCTATCACATGCCCCCTTATTTGCATTTTGTAAGATAAAGAGTCTTACATCTTATCAACTTTTCTCACAGGTGAACTGTTCCAATCTGTTGATCATTTTGATTGCCCTTTTCTGTGCGGCATATGGTTTCTGGGGTGTGGCAATTGGAACAGAACACATCATTCTAAGTGAGCACCAATGATTTGTATAAAGGTATCACATTAGTACTTTTAATTTGCAGCATAATCCAATGGGATAATCTATTCCATATTCAAGAGGCCTAGTAGTCTAAAAAGTAAATGAATGCATGGGAGCGAGTGGGAGAATAACTTCTACTGCCTTTTTTCTATTTTTTCATAGTACTAAACATATTTATTTATTTAGAAAATTTTATTTTATTTAAACAATATTTTAAAAACTTTTAACATCATCTATAGGTTTTAATTTGCAGCCAGGGTGAATCTGGATTTTATTTGCACTATTTGTATTATGTTTATTTATTTCATGTAAGCCGTCCCGAGGCTCAGGCGATGGGACGGCATACAAAAATTCTAAATAAATAAATAAACTGGGTTAGGGTTAGAAAAACGTGGTGTCCTGGCATGATTTTGATGGTTGGAATGTTTTTAGAATTGGCAGAAATGATTAGCAGTACAGAAAAAGCTACTCAAGGAGGGCTTTTTCTGAATCACCCTCTTTCTATGGAACTTTACCCCATATTAGTATTAGGGGTGTGCACCAGGGCAGGGTTAGGGTTACAAAAACATGGTGTCCTGGCATGATTTTGATGGCTGGAATTTGTTTAGAATGGGCAGAAATGATTAGCAGTGCAGAAAAAGCTACTCAAGGGAGGCTTTTTCAAAATCACCCTCTTTTCTATGGGCCCACCTCCATCCGCGCTGCCCGGAGCCCGCCGCTGCTCCACCACCCACTGCTGCCTGCTGCTGCTGCCCTGCTGGAGAGGCCAGGACCACCGGCCCAGGGCCCTGCTCTGGCCTGCTTTTCCCGGCGTGAGAGACACGCCGGGAAGGGGTGGGGCACAGGGAGGGGCCCTGTGGGCCACAAAGTGCTGGCTGCGGCCTCGGGCAACAGCCTAAGGGTGGTCACCATTTGGGGGGCCGAACGGGGGGCTGGGCTGGCCAGGGGCTCTGGCCATGGTTTGGTTTTATTTATTTGTGGGCTAGTGGTGGTCTAGGTGGAGGACAGTAAGATGTTTTAATGGTTTTAATTGTTGGTTTTAGATTGTTTTTAATTGGTGCATCTTGTGCTTTATTATGATGTTGCCTGGGGAGCATGGGGCTGCCACCATCGGGGTGGTGACGGGCAATAAGCGTTATGGCGTTGGGGGTCTAACGGGTCAGCATAGAAGGAGGGACAGATGATTAACACCTGTCCCTCTTTCTGGTTATTCCCCCAGCCGGCGGGTTCCAGGTAGACTTGTCAACTGCTCTCCGGCCTGTCGGTGCTGCTACTTAATGCGAGGTCGGTCCAAAATAAGGCAACACTCATCCATGATTTGATAATGGATGAGAGGGCCGACCTGGTGTGCATCACAGAGACCTGGGCGGGTGAGGGGGAGGATGTTTCCCTCTCACAATTGTGCCCACCCGGGTACCTGGTCCAGCACCGACCACGCCTGGAGGGGAGGGGGGGTCGCTCTGGTTTATCGAGCTTCTATTTCCCTTGTAGGGCTTCCTGTCCTCTTGAGGCCAGGGCTGGAGTGCCTCCACCTGGTGTTGGGCAACTGAGACAGATTGGGGATTCTGTTGGTGTACCATGCACCCTTCTGCCCAACAGACTCCCTGCCTGAGCTGACGCAGATTGTCTCGGACCTGGTGTTGAAGACTCCCAGGATGTTGGTCCTGGGGGACTTCAATCTCTATGCCGAGACGGTTCTAACCGGGGTGGCTCAAGACTTCATGGCCTCCATGGCGGCCATGGGGCTGTCTCAACATGTCATTGGCCCGACCCATGAACGTGGACACACTCTGGGCCTGGTTTTCTCGTCGGGGCAGGAAGAGGGTGACCTGAGGGTGAGGAATTTAAGCTTGACGCCCTTGTCATGGTCAGATCACTTCCTCATAAGGTTTGAGCTTGAGCGCAGCCTTTCCCTCTGTAAGGGTGCGGAGCCGATTGTATTGGTCCACCCTCGGAGCCGGATGGATCCTGATGGATTCCTGGAAGCTCTGGGGGATTTTCCGGTTGACAAGGCTGGTGATCCTGTCGATGCCCTGGTTGAACTGTGGAATGAGGAGATGACCAGGGCTATTGACACGATCGCTCCCAAGCATCCTCTCCCACCTGGCAGAGCCCGTTCATCTCCTTGGTAAACACCTGAATTATGGGCGATGAAGCAGGTTGGGAGACGTCTAGAGCGTAGGTGGAGGAAATCATGGGGTGATTCTGACCGAACGCACTTAAGAGCCCATTATGGGGCCTATGCTGCGGCGGTGAGGATGACGAAGAAATTCTTCTCCGTTTCCATTGCCTCCTCACCATGCTGTCCGGCGGAGCTTTTTTGGGTGGTGCAGGGACTGATACATCCAGGCCCGAAGAAAGATCTTGTGCCACCCTCGAAGGCCTGCTGTGACAACTTTGCCAAGCATTTCAGGGAGAAAATCGCTCAGATTCGCCACGAGCTTGACTCTGCTATTGAATCAGATTCTACTGGGGAGACGCCATCGATGCTGTCCAGTCCACAATTAATGGATGAATTTCAGTTGTTGCGGCCTGATGATGTGGACAAGGTGCTTGGACAAGTATGTCCTACCACCTGCTTACTAGATCCTTGTCCATCTTGGCTACTTAAGAAAGCCAAGGACGGGATTGGCACCTGGATCCTGGAGGTGGTCAAAGCCTCTTTAAGAGACGGCCGGGTACCTGCCCCTTTAAGGGAGGTGGTAGTCCGGCCAGTCCTAAAGAAGGCATCCCTGGATCCAGAGGTGGCAGCCAATTATAGACCAGTGGCCAACTTTCCGTTCCTGGGCAAGGTGCTAGAGCAGGTGGTGGCGGGACAAATCCAGGCACTCTTGGATGAAACTGATTATCTGGACCCATTTCAGTCTGGCTTCAGACCAGGGTATGGCACTGAATCTGCCTTGGTCGCCCTGTACGATGACCTGTGCAGGGAGAGAGACAGGGGGAGTGCATCCCTGTTAGTTCTCCTGGACCTCTCAGCGGCTTTCGATACCATCAACCATGGTATCCTACTGAATGCGCTAGCAGGATTGGGAGTTGGCGGCACCACGTGGCGGTGGTTCCGCTCCTATCTCAATCGTCGATTCCAGAAGGTGGTGCTGGGGGACTATGGCTCTGTGCCATGGCAGTTATGCCATGGAGTTCCGCAGGGGTCCATTTTCTCCCCTTCGCTATTTAACATCTACATGAAACCGCTGGGAGAGGTCATCAGGAGGTGTGGGCTGCGGAATCATCAGTACGCTGATGATACCCAGCTCTACCTCTCGTTTTCCACCAATCCAGGTGAGGCAGTGGCTGTGCTGAACCGGTGCTTGGCCGAGGTAATGGGCTGGATGAGGGCTAATAAACTGAAGCTCAATCCAGACAAGACGGAGGTCCTGTTGGTGGGTGGCTCGGGCCTCGGGATGGGGGACTTGGGCCTTGTCCTAAATGGGGTTGCACTCCCTCTGAGGGACAGGGTTCGCAGCTTAGGAGTGCTCCTCGACCTTGTGCTGTCTCTAGAAGCTCAGGTGATGGCGGTGGCGAGGAGCGCCTTCCTTCAGCTTCGGCTGATACATCAGCTGCGTCCCTATCTGGAGAACGACTGCCTGGCGACAGTGACACATGCGCTGGTAACTTCCCGATTAGACTTCTGTAACGCGCTCTACATGGGGCTACCCTTGAAGATGGTCTGGATACTTCAATTGGTGCAGAATAGAGTTGCCAGGTTGCTGACGGGGACTGGGCGTTGTTCTCATATAACCCCAGTTCTCCGTCAGCTCCACTGGCTCCTGATTAAAGTCCGGACCCAATTCAAGGTGTTGGTTATGACCTATAAAGCCCTAAACGGCTTGGGACCTGGATATCTAAAGGAACACTTGCGCCCATATATGCCCTCCTGCCCCTTGAGATCAGCAACAGATGCCCTTCTCCGGGAACCCTCTGTGAATGACATAAGGAGGGTGAGTTCCCGGAGGAGGGCTTTCTCTGCGGTGGCACCCCATCTATGGAATGCACTCCCCAGAGAGGTCCGCCTGGCGCCGTTGTTATTTGTTTTTTGGTGCCAGGCTAAGACCTTTTTATTTAAAATTATTTTAATTGCTAAATTATTGTATTAATTAGGATTTTAAAATTTTTAGCCAAGAATGCACCTGGGGTTTATAAATGTTGTTGTTGTTGTTTTCTTCTTTTAATTGCTATATTATTATTATTTATGTATGTTTTATGTATTCTTTGTGAGCCGCCCTGAGGCTTTGTTGCAATGGGGGCGACATAGAAATGTTTTAAATAAATAAATGTTACCCCATATTAGGGTTAGGGCTGTGCACCAGGGCAGGGTTAGGGTTACAAAAATGTGGTGTCCTGGCATGATTTTGATGGTTGGAATGTGTTTAGAATGGGCAGAAATGATGAGTTGCGCAGAAAAAGCTATGCAAGGAGGGCTTTTTTCAAAATCACCCTCTTTTCAATAGAATTTTCACCCTCTATTAGGGTTAGGGGTGTGCACCAGAGCAGGGTTAGGATTACTAAAATGAGGTGTCCTGGCTTGATGTTGATGGTTGAATTGTGTTTAGAATAAGCAGAAATGATGAGCTGTGCAGAAAAAGCTACTCAAGGAAGGCTTTTTCAAAATCACCCTCTTTTCAATGGAACTTTAGCCCTATATTAAGGTTAGGGGAGTGCACCAGGTTAGGGTCAGGGCAGTGGTGGCGAACCTATGGCACATGTGCCACACCGGGTATGCAGAGCCCTCTCTGTCAGTACACGAGCCAAGTCACCCCAGCATCGTCCCAGCAGCTGAGCATCGGATAACAGTGCACATACAGGCCGTGCACATGCTCAGAAAGGAGTAGCAGCGCCAGGTGATGGCATCATGAGCTACAACTCATTAGCTGTGACTTGTCCGAGCTTCTGCATGGCTCGTCAGTGCACAGCCAAGGACACACACACACAGAGACACATATATTATAATATTTAGTATATATTATACATATATATGTATATATTTATTTGCTTGTACTAGCTGTGAGGTTTTTTTTCTAAATTAAAACCTCAGTTTTCAGATTTTATTGTAGTGTTGACACTTTGTAATAAATAAGTGGGTTTTGGGTTGCAGTTTGGGCACTCCATCTCTAAAAGGTAAGCCATCACTGCCATAGCATTTTCAAAAGTCTTACCTTATAGAAGAGACATGAGCCCAAAATTGTATACTGCCGTCTCATGTCATAGTAATCTTCAGCCTGCAAAAAACACACACACACTCCCTAAAATCACTGTTTGGGATCTTATAAAATATACAAGTGTAGTCTTAAAAAGGAGAGTTTTACAAAACACTTCAATTGTGCAGGAAGCCTTCTTTACTTGGCTAACATCTGTCTTTCAGTAGTGATCCATATACATTTCTGATGTTAAAAATTAATTCTGAATTTTCACTATTGCCACAGAATTACCAAATGTTTGGTTAAGATGGTATAACTCATATTATGAATAAACATTTTAGGCTTTAAAAGTGATGTGGTTTCATGAAACGGAACAGTATTTTCGGTTTCAAATGTGGAAAAAATACTCCTAATATAAGGACTGCTCTCATCATCACTGGGACTTGTTACGTCATGTATAAAATCATATATATATAATCTTTCATCTTTATACCATTTTAAAAACTTATGAATAGAAATAATTTAACAGTAAGAAATAATAAAATTTCTGAAATATAACGAAATTATGTACTTGCTTACCTCAGTACATATAATATATCCACCTATGTATTAATTTACTAAGGCAACAGCAACAAGAATTTTGCGAGGGATATTTATAATATTCTTCTATTTTTAAATTATATTTATCTTCTTCTTGCTGTACCAATTGGGAGGGAACTTGGTACCAAACCAGGTTCAAGGGTTCTGAGACTGTCATAAAGAGCCCCAACCTAACCCTATCTATGTCAAGAAGATATTTCTGGCCAAGTTCAACAGCTGAACTTGCAATTTTTATGGAGACCAAATAACTTCCACTGAATGTCCTTGTGGTGAATGGCATAGCTGCAAGAAGAAATTCAAGTGCAAATAAACTATTTGCCAATATTGTGACAGCAAAATAAGCACTTTATTTTCAGCAGAAACAACATGAATCAATGCTGGCTGCGTGATTTGGAGTGGGAGGGCTTAAAGAAGACTCCCTCAATGACCAAACTTCTTCTCCATCCCACTATATACTCTGTTGCCCTCTGGATTCAATTCTTATAGCCATCCAGAATGAACATCCCTTTCCTTCTCTTGGAAGGAAGAAAAAGGCAGTGTCACCAAGGAGAACCAACAACCATGGCTTGCTTGACTTTTTGTTATAGTGAAATTAAAATTTGGGTGTGGGAAGAGCAGGAGGCAGCTGGCACTCTTTCACTACATTTCTGTCATGATTCTGTCCTCCTTTCCCTTGGAGCCAGGAGAGCAGCAAGAGCAAAGAGAAGGAGCAACAGGAATAAACAAGAATGGAAGGCATGGTACTTGATGGGCTCTCAGTACCTGCTTCTGCCCTAGCATGAGCAATTCTTACATCACTTTGAAATAAGCAAGTATGAAAGAGTTAGACTATACCAGTTAGTGAGCTCTGAATGTGTAATAAGAATTGGTTTCTTACTAGTTCTCCAAAATCTGCTGCCTCCAAGTCACTAAGAACTGAATCAATTTCTACCTGTAATACAAAAGTGGTAAATGAATACAACATATATTGCCACAAAATTTATTATTCTCAGTAATAACAAAGCTTTTCATGCATATTTCAACACTGAAACAATGCCTAATGCCCCAGAATGCATAGAGTTAAGTTGCATGGGTTATTTCAGAATTACAGCATCATTGCAGATCACTATAAGCAAGGTCAAAAGAAAAGCATCCAGTAGTTGCATACTTCACTCTTCAGAAATGAAAGAAAAATATTCTACTTCTCAGCCTCTAATCCCACTGCTTCATATAAAAGCTACATCAATCTTAACTTTTTTTCCTCCATGGATTAAAACAAAGCCTGAGTTCCCTTGAAGGCTTGCAAAGCTTGAGTATCCAACTGAGTTATTAGAAAATTCTTTTTCACTCTGGCTTTAGTCTTTGTCTCTATGGAAATTTTCTAAAACATTCTCACACATTACCTTTACTCCACCTAAGAAGTGTTAAACTTACACACTTCAGCATCTAGCTGGTTACAGTAAGTTTTATAAGAAGTAACTTTTATTTATAGATCCAAATAAACAATCCAGAAGGTACAAGCCAAAAATATGCTCCACACTGAAAGGAACTTAATTGTAAGAAGACTGGAGCATTCCCTGAAGAATATGTAAACGAGATGTCTTGGTGAGAAACACTAGTTTTTAACCAATGCTGCCAGAACTGCCAGCCACCCAGTTGGTGTTCAAGTCACTGGGTTTCTCTGTTCTCCCTTGTCTCTGATTGAAAACACATGTCTATTCCACATTATAGCAATACAATTTTCTGTTTTTATTATGGATAAATGCCAGTCTTCTACCTAATAACAGGTTATCCACTTTTTGGCACATACTACATTTAAATCAATCCATCAAAAATTTGCACCACAATAGAATCACTCTGAAAAATACTGGAGGTGTGTGTGTGTGTGTGTGTGTGTGTGTAAAATTCAACTAGCATTTTAAGCTGTCCCAATCTGAATAGAATTAGCCCAAAACATGGGAATTTCAAAGCAAGGACATTCTAATATATTAAACTGCTTATTAGTTTGAAGCATGTTATGGGAACTCAGCAGTGTACGGAAGGCAACAGAAGATTGCAAATCATACAACAATTCTGATAAGGAAGTAAGGAACACAAAAGCAAGTAAATCCCAACAAGGCAAAAAACAACTAGATAATTCAGTAATATCAAACCAATAAATAAATTTAACAAAGACAGGTACATATAACATCTTTTATAGCCCCAGAATTAAAAGTAAGCAACATGGTTGCTTTTTTGTTTGTCTATTACATAAATTCAACTCCGCAAGAGGAGTGGGGAATGATTCAACCCATACCACTACAGAGAGCTCATTTACTTTTCCTCTGACAAAGAGCAAGGGAAAAATAAGCTGGGAGGATTAACATTTTTATTTTAAATACATCATTTCAAATAAGCAGAGGCAGTTCCAATCAGAGGGCGATCTAGGTGCCTCTCTTCCACTACTTCCCCATGTCCCCTGCCCACTGTTGCTTTAAAACTGAAGTTTTTCAATTCACTGCATCTGGCACTATTGCAGGAGTTCCTCCAGGCAGTTCAGCATCTTCAGAATCACAATAAGCAAGTGCAAACTTCCACACATGCTTTAAATGTAACTTCTAATCCAGGGCTTTTTCTGAAAGTGAAAGGCTTCTGAGTCTGCCTTGCACCCAATTCCAGGTGGTGCTCACACCCATCTTTAAAGCAGTCCAACAAAATATTGGCTCAGCTTAAGCTGTTAGCCCAAGTGCGCCAATCAGAGGAATATTGCATAATATGTAAATTACCTGTGACAATTCATTTATCTTAAGTATATTAACTCAAGTGCTTAAAATTAAGTGGTGCCCATCTTTCCAAGTCAAGAGTTAAGTATTTCCACCGGTAATGCACTTATTTGCAATTTAACCATTTACAAAATAAATCCAGACACCAATATACAGCATCACTTTTGGGCATCAACACAAATGACCATTAGTAATCACTCTGGGTAACTTGAAACTACCTACAGGCATTGATTCAGGTTCTGTCCAACTGAGAGTATAATCTGAAACTGTACTGAAAAGTTCAATTGATTTTATCACTGCATTTAAAACTTCAGGAGCCTATAGTATATACAGATAGTGATTTATATTTTTCTAATATGTTCTGGATAATTGAAAAATGCAAGTTTTAAAGGGCCCTTTTGGCAACCATTTCTTGCAGCTAATTCTATGAGAACTGGAAGATGTATTGCACACAGTAACCTTTCTTTGGGCTTAATTACACATGCAGCCAATTCACATGATCAAACAGTCCACTATTGGCTGTTTCAAGCCCCAGTGCGCCATGGAATATTCAACTGTTAAATATTAAACTTGCAACTGTTGTACTGTCTGAACCTGTCACTGTGGGTTATTACTGCACTGTTTGATCATGACAACCAGGTCATTTTAAATCTATATTTGAAAAAGAGTGTTTCTTACTGCTACTTTTATTTGGAAAAAGTTAGGACATTCACTGCTGGCTAGCTAAGGATAAATGCTATCTGAATTATGAATTCTTTAGCGTTGCCCTTAAAATCCCTCTGACCCATTACGTTTTGCAGCTAGAATTTACTGCTGTAATCCATACATACCCTAAACTGGCAAAGTGAGGGCAGTATGAGTAAGAGTTGAGCCACAATCATATAAATATTTCTGAAATGTACCTTGGAAATGTAAACCACTCAAGTTTCCTCACTTGTGCTAATATTTCTCTAGACAGCCTTAGGCACAATTACCTTAATTTCTCGTGGCAGTGACAACCACCGAACCCCTGGAAAGTTGTATAAAAACAATGCACAGCAGTTATCATAGTGGTGAGAACTAGGGCAGGCACTTGAGTTGAACCTGGGTAGCTGAAGGGCTTGCTGGAAGAACAGGCTGAAAAAGTGATCCAACCGAGAAATGTTTCCAGTCTGACAAAAAGCACTAAACAAACATAAGCCAGAAGTTAAAGAAAGAAATGTACTTGTGTACATAGCACAAGATAACTTTACAGCATAATAGTATTATCAGGCCTAAGCTTCCAGAAGGAAGAAGAAAAAAAGGGGATGGTGGGAATTGGAACATGATGTTCAAACAGTTTGAGATGGAAAGGAATAAAATAACATTTCAATTATATCAGTATTATTCAGCATTTCTTGCAAGCTATTTTTTAATGTAGATTCCTTTTAGCTATTCTTAAATTACCATTAACTTGGCATAAGCACAATCTACGTATCTCTCTGTCTATTATAATTGTTCTTAGCATAAGAGAAATGCATTGTTCTCAAAAAATTTCTTTCAATCTCATTGCAAAACACATTTTATATTTAAATTTTAGCCAGAATCCAAAGAATCATACAATCAGTCCTGGACAGCAGTGACATCTGTTTAGGTCTGGAGAGTGTCGGCCCGTGATCCAAAGACAAGTTTAAGGTGTTCATGGGCTAAACCCTTTGTCTACCACATGTTGCACCAGCACACACTGGGATTGTTAAGAGTAGCTCCCTAGGCTATCTGTTAAAACATTTCTGAAACTGAGAGGACTTTCAAAACCAGTTTGAAATATGGTCTGGGAAGCTGCTGTTCAAAGAAAGTTACAAATGTGATTTTGTACATGCAAGCCCTTGAATAAGCTTAAATTATCTTTCTAAGTCTCATGTTAGTATTATGCAGCTTTAGAAGTATAACAGGAATATGTTCATTATGATGGTCAGAGCACAAAATCCATTTTGCTGTTTGGAAGAGAGGTAGGTTAATCTTTAGTAAATTATAGCAAAGAAACAAATCAGCTGCACATTACTGACTGGAGCTATCCAGCCAATCTGTACACTGAAAATAAATTTGCAGTGGATTTTCTCAAACAAGCACCTGCTTGGCAAACCAGTTTTGAAAATGAAGGAACTTTCAGTAGCAGTATGTTCTCCTTTCCAAAGGAAAGTCTTTCTGAATCCAGACTTCAAGCAATAGCATACTGTAGTGAAACCCCAAATTTGTAGTAGGAAGACACAGTATCTTTGGGAAAGCTTACCTGTCCAGAGAGCCAAACATGAATGTCAAGGTCTGAACAACATCTGCAATCATGTTTCTTAGCTGAGAGAGAGGTACACTAGAAAAGCAAAATATCCCCTGAGAATTGCACCACAATGATGGAGATTAAAAAATCTGTCCATATTAATATGCACAATCTAAGAAAAATTAGTAGCCATTAAGGGTGGAATCCTAGGGGGGTGCTAGCAACCCTCTGAACTTAGAGGATTATGGGCATCCTATGCAAAGGGGAAGGAACACTGAGGTGAAGGTATCTTGACAGTTGCTCCATGCACAAATCCCCAGCTCTGAGGTCAAAGCAATTTTCCAAACTTGGACCTAAACAATCCTATGATGCGGTCTAGCAGCCATAGGACTATTCTGCAAATGTCACCAAAATGGCACTTGAAATAGATTTGTTGATATGTATTTAGGATTTCCAGCCAACAAAATTTAATTTTAGGCTCTAGTTATTAATAAAGCTTGACACAGTCATTTTGAAAATATTTATCCAGTAAACAAGTTTGATAAGATAAGCCTTGCAAGTCTACCTTTCAGCTGGGAGGCCAATTACAAGGAGTTTGTCAGATTCCTTCCGGTAAGCCACATGGATCAGTTTTCCACATGAAAACATTGATGAACTATAAAAAGTCAACAAACACAAGGGAATATTATGATAGCATCTCATACATGTGATCATACATATGATCTAGTAGCTTTCCCAGTAGTGGTTGCATACTCAATTGTTAATTCTGTAATTTTGAGCTAGAGGGAAAAATCCTATCAGCACTGATAAAGTCTCCTTTTTTCTTATTTGCAGTTCTGCCTTTTTGGCTATAAAGTTATCTGTTATAATGTTTGAATTAGCTTTTTATTAATCTCTTACAGGCAAATTTCAGAAGCGACCAGCCGCACTTATGTGAGGCAGGAAAACATTACTGATGTCCAATTAGTGTATCTGTAGAATGTGTACCTAACAAGCATGTAATTTACTTCATGTTTAAACTGGGTATGTAAAGTTATGATGTCAGAATAGAAAGCAAAATGACCAGAAATAAAAACAGAAGTATTCTCTTACCTGATGATATGTGCTCCTGTCATGTTTTCCAGTATGTCACACAGTGTAAGAAATATTCCTCTTACACTCTTCATTTTTTGGGAAGCTTCTGATATGGGGTATTGGTAAAGAATTTCTTGCTGTCAAAAATGCCCATTTGTTCATGAGTTAAGAAAATTACTGAATAATTATTTTCCTTGAAATGATAAATGCTTGATTTTAAATAGCATTCAACAGTTTCTCCCAAAATGGTAAATCACATACTTGAGAAATTGCAAAGAATATTTTTATTACTATTGCTAGAAATACACAGAGGAGGGGTAGAAGTATAATAAATAAATGTCCTAGGGTACTTGACAAAATCATTCACACATTTGTTACCTCAATATTATAAGATATTTGCTATTTGTTATAAATGAAACAGTCTTACACTTTGGGAAGGGAATATTTTGCTACCTTAGTATTTATTTATGGAACATGATGTCCCATCTTTGAAAAAGTTCCATACTCAGAACTTTATGTTTTAGCTTCCTGAAAAAACAAGATAATCTATATGAAATTGCATCACTATCTAAATATTTAATTCACAAAATTCAAAACTAGGACATGCCAGACATGCAGCTCAATGCTATGCCTGTTTAAGTGGAAGCAAATCCCATTGTGTCCAATGGGGCTTACACTCAGTAAATGTCTTTAGGATTACAGTTTTAATTCCTGAATCTTGCCACTCATTTTAATTCCAGGCAATGCCAAGACCCTGCCAAGGAAATTCTCTTTTCAAATAGAACTGTGAATCTCACTGTTGAGAACTGGCAAGACTGTGCCACCTTTATCCAGTTTAATTATCTATTTTTAAAATGTCCCACTAACAAGGATTCTATGCATCAATCTGTCACATCAAGATGAAAAAAATAGGTCTTTTCTAATTACAACACTATTTACAATGGGGGAAAAGAGATCTTATTCCATTTTATGAACAAAAGAACATTTACAATGCTAATTTGTGAAATATACACACACACTCTTTCCCAGGGAAAGAAAAGAAAAACACAACAAATAGCTTAGCAGCGACCCCTGAACAGTAATGTGTTGGTAAGGTCGAATGTTTATCAATGTGCGAGATTAGCTGTCTTCAAAGCAAACTGAAAGATGTCATGGGGTCGAATGGGAACAAGGGCCAGGGATAATGAATTTAATGAGTGAAAAGAAATGGTAGTTGTAAAAACAGTGTTTTCTGGAAGAGTATATGGCTCTATTAGCTGGTTTCACAGTGAATAAATTATATTTTCATTTTGATTATCTTCATTTCTAATGTAATAAACTTTGCAAAAGATGTTTCCGCCAATCAGCAAAGCCTTGGCACTGAGAGCACACTGAACAGAATTCTTAACATGAGCAACTGAAAGAGTCTAAGAACTGGACTCTAACAAAGGATGCTTTCTTGAAGAGTGAATTTTCACAGTGAAAGGAGATAATAGTTTCCTGCTCTGCAGTAAACAAGAAACAATTACCTCTATGCTAATTAATGGCATTCAACTGGGGCTATATTATTAAAACTTCAGAATTTATGTACTGGAAAGTGCCTCTGAAAATAACAAGGTCTCCCAAATCTTGCTTTAAATAAGAATTGTAATTCTACTGTTATTGACAGCACTTGCTGTGTTAAAGCACACATTAAAAGATGAGAAAATCTCAAGTACATTAAGTTGTATGAATGCCTTGAAACATTGTTATTAAAAATGCAAGACATTCCTGCAGTAATTAAACCAGTTGCATAAATGACTTTATATTAGATTAATTTCCTTCAGCAGCTCCTCTGACTTCTGGGATACCAACACATTTTCAACATATTTTTGCAACAGTAAGGACTCGAAAGTTGCTTTAACAATAATGAAACAGATACTGCAGTGCACTCACAGTCTGGAATGTTCTAAATCACAGTCTTTTTCTACTAGCTCCTGTTAGTGATCAATAGCTGTTTGGGGATTAGGATGTGCATCTTTCACCTTATTTTAGGAGTGCATACCTACCTCATCCTTAGAACTATCAGAATCCAATTTGAGTGACAGGTACATAACAATATGTGGTATACTCTGGAGAGAGAATTGTGGATCATTGTCATAGTCTTTCCATAGCAGTTTTAGCAGGTTATTCATAGAAGATTCTGTCTGCTTACACCTTGGTTGTGATGTTTCTGTTTGTTCAAACACTGTTGTTTCAAACGTGAGCTTCACCTATTGGAAGAGAAAGAACTCAATGTGCACAATATATGCAAATCAACAAAAATCCATCAGTGTGAAGTAAGTTATTATGCAATGAGCTGGTTTGGAGATTACAGCAAGCTATGAATTATCATTACAGGAATAAGTTGCAGCATGGTACTTGAATACTCCTTCATACTCCTGAGATTAATTGTGATGAAATTAGGAGCTTTTGCTTACTTTGGATTAATCACAATTTATTATTATGCCTGCCCCCTAAACCGTAATTAATCTTAACCCTATCATGTGAGCAGCAGGCCAACTTCAAAACTTCAACAGATAACAGTCAAGATTAACCACAGTTTGTCCAGTTTGGAATAAGTGACAAGCTGTGATTGATCAACAACAGAAGCAGAGTTTTTGATTTTCCTGTAACTAAATTAGGAAGACCGCAGAGTGCACAATCCCAAGATCCACACCTGCTTTCTTCTGTCATGATAAGCAATCACTTATTGTAACTTCCGAGCATGTCCTGTATGTTCAAAGCCATCTCTTAAATGTTTAAATGGATGATCTTCAGTCTTTGCAGACTCAGGATCCACCACAGACTTCTTCCATCCAGAACCATAGTTTCTCACTCTTTTCCCACTCTGTTTTCCCAAACTGCTGCTCAATCTAGACAATGCCAGGCTACATGGACCAAGCAGCTTCTTTTGTTCCACACACAGACACACACACACACACACAAATTTACAATTTGTTAAATGTAATAATTAGGCCAAGAGCAATACTTTAAACTGCTCTTAAATTAATTCCAAAGTGTTAGAACATATCTTGACATGGAAAGGAATGGAGCTGCACTTGTTTCCATGAATCCTGGTTCAAACAGGCAATTTCAGAACAATATGCATTTTATTACTGAAGAATTTTCTAATGCACTTCAGCAACAGCATAACATTTTCAGTTGACACTATTCAAGTTAAAATTGTCTAGAGATTTACTTTCAGTGATATAGTTTCCACTCTAGCTCTGCTTGTTTGCCACAAGAGAAATATGTGAAACTTAATAAAACATTGCAGGTTATATTGATTGATTACTATCTGATGAAGTTAGTAAAGATGGAAGTGTTTAATTCACATTAATAGCAGCTGCTATGAAATATTTTTATTTGGAATGTTTGAGCAACACAAGTAAAGTTTTTAATTATAAATTGACTGGGAATTAGCTAAGCAACACTGCCTATTCCTCTTTATGTGCCAGCATAGTACAGAAACGACAGTAACTACAGCAACTCTGTGTGTGGCTAAAAGCAGGCTGTGAACAAGGTTCTCACTGGATATCTTCCAATATGTATGCACAGTTTTACAAACAAGCTCATAGGGCCAATGCTAGTTCTGTTATCCATGGTTAAAACACTGTAAGTAGAATCAGATGCTTCCTTTCCTGCAGCTCCTTCTCTCTCCCGTTCCTCAAATCCTTTACTGTATTTTTTATTTTATTTATTACATTTATATACTGCTCCATAGCCCATGAGGTTGCTATTTAAGCACTGACTGTTCTTCACAAGGGTTCTAACCAGATCTAAATTGAACTACAGTTTGTGGCTACTTGATAAAATCTACTTACTTAACAATTTTTCTCCTCCTCTTCGGTTAAAAATAACACTTAAGACAACAGCATAAAATCAAACAAGGATGTCCAAACCATGTCATAAAGCAACAACAATTACCAAATTAAAAAGCAGAAGAAACAGAATTAACTGCAAAATAAAAATAAAAATCAAATTATATTTTAAAAGGTCTGGGAAAATGTAAAAGCCTTGTCTAGTGCAAAAAAGTGGAGTGGTGCCAAGTGAGATGTGCTACAGAGAACATTAAAAAAGCATCACTCCACAATAAAAATATCCATCTCACTAGTAATCACCCACCTCAATTCAGAAGGTGGAAGCACCTGGAGAAAGACCTCTGACAAGATCCTATATAAATGGGGAGACACATTTGTAAAAAATGGTATTTCATGTATTCAGGTCACAAATGATGTAGGGTTTTAAAAGTTCGATAGCTTTGATTTGTGGTTCAAATACTGTCAGTCAGTGAAGCTATTTCAGATTTAGTAAGATGTGCCGCATGCTGCTCAAACCAGTTCACAGCAATATAATAAACTGACTGGTTAAGAGAAAATCTGGTCAGCAATTATTATGGTTAAACACAGATCCACAGTTCAGGAAGGCAGGCAGGCACATGAAGAAATTAATATGGGGCAGTTTTTTTATGTCACAGCAATAAACCGAGAGTTGTTTCCTGAATAACCCATGGTGTACCCAAAAGACTGTGGGTTGTCCACCACTTCTTTCCCCTCAGTACTCCCACATTGCAGAATCCATCTTATCTCCTTTCTCCACTTCAATAGTGACCACTTTTGTAGTTTCTGCAACTTTTTTTCCAGAGATCGTGTTATCACATTAGTGATAGGCAGTGACAGTCCTCCAAAGTACCTACCTGGAACACTGGAGCAGTAACCACTGGTTTGCCACCTTTTTTCCCTTTCCTTTCCTATTTCAAACTGCATGCAAATGTTTGCATTATTTTTCCCTTTGATAAGTAACTTAGAGTTGTGCCACTTGGACACATGCTGGAGTGGTGGTCATTGATGGTAGCCAACCAGTTCACTCCTACAACCCATAACAGAGTCAATGGCCCAAGTTGTGACAACTTATTCTGGGTTCAACAATCCCTGAAACAAGCCATAAGTCATCACGATGCTTTTGGGAAAAAGGAAGCCATGCTGCAGGAAGCAATCCACGATTGCATGACTAATCCCTGTGCATTTTTATTGCCTATTTCCCCAAACTGCTAACACTTTTTCAGTCCCCTGCTTCAAATCTTGCTGTATGGTGCTGGTATTTTCATTACCTCCAGTATTAAATGTTGTTGCTGTTTTATTTCAATCCACCTATAGTTAGGGCAAACTGTACACATGGATCCATTTGAACATCTCTTGAATTACCACATAAATAGGTGGCATCTGCATTCAGATGCACAAACCTCTCCACATGCCACCCTAACTAAGAGGATGTCTGCACTGAGGTCAGAAAATATCAACCTCATTGTCTCAGCAAAGGAAGCATGTTCTTATTCTTCCTAGCACCTGCCCTGATGCAAACAACCTTGCCCCTTTTTGCAAAGGGGTACAAAGAAACCTGCCCAAAGGAGGGATGGATTTCAAAGTTCTTGTATAAAACTCATTGTAAAGCTCATACATATGTTTGAATGCTGGCCTTCAAACTTTAAACAAGAAAGTACTATACCTGCATTGGACCTGGAATGCAAGATAAAACCCTTTCTATATTTTCAGAACTCACATCAACATCATTTACTGCAACCAGGACATCTCCTGAAAGCAGAAGCAAAAAAGATATTAAAGAACGTAGGTATAATACATGGGATGACAACGACCCCTGCTCAAAAAATGATTAAGCTGTTGCTAAACACAGGTTAACTGATGTCTTGATATTTCACCCTCATCATATGATGGTTAAGCAGTGGATACTCAAGCAGGTCAATAAAGTAAAAAAAATCCACAAAGTGGACTTTCTTTCTTTGGCTACCTCCAAACTGGACAAAAAACACAAGGCAACCACTACTCAAATAGGAAGGGAATCTCTTAACAACTAGAGATAAAATATAGAAATACAATTTCTAAATGCTCACAAATAATAATGTTTGAGAATCCGTTCTTAATTTTGTGCATACTGCTTTTTTTCATTATGGTTGGCCAGAAAGGGACTACTTAAAATCTAACCACTCAGTTATCACAGTTACTACTTTGCCATCTCTGTTCATTGGCCACATTTCATACATGGAATGGTGGAAATCTATACTGGACAGCAAGTAGTAAATGAGAAGTGAAGAAATGATTACATTTCCCTGACATGTTTTAAAGAAAAAGCCAGAAAATAAGATTGCACTAAGATACAGTTTTTATAAACATAGCTGGGCAAGTAAAAATGGTCACCCACCATATACTTTAATAATCACATAAGGCACAGGAATATGCTTCAAAATATAGTATACAAAATAAATATGCCATGGAAATTTCAGACTTCACAATCTTAAGGACTTGGTTATTCAAATATTATTTCCATTAGAAAAGAACAGTTAAATACTGGTTGATCTGTGAATTCTATTATTTCATTTTTAACAAAAGTTTATTAATGTTGATATTTAAAAATATAAAGTAGTTACCAATTTATCTCACTAAACTTCACTCTAGCAAAAATGCAAGACTCCATTTGATTGCTGTAAATGCACTAGTATGGCACAGTGCATAGGACACAGTTTGGATGGAAATGTCATGAAGTTCACTAGGTAGTCTTTGGAAAGTCTCTGCCCTAAATCCACTTTCAGAAGGTATGTGGAGACAGCAAATGAGAAGAATGCAAGCCAGCCTTCCTGAAACTGGTGTTCTCCACATTGTTTTGGATTTCAATTCCCATCAGTGTAAGGTGAATTTGATTTCCAGGCTTGAGAAGGCTGGCAAATTGTTAACTCAGGAACAGACAAAATGCTGGAAATACCAGGTGCCAGCCTTGAGGCATCCAAGGCCTTTGGGAGGAGGGAGGTGAGGATTCTCAATTGGCCTCAAGGATGCAGGAGATAACCAGCCATGACTGGTTAATGGCAGGCACCTGGAGTTAATGAGTGGCCCTTGGAGACTGGAAGTTAGGGCTATCACCCCGCAGTCAACTGACCTAGGCTGTGGGGGTGGAATAAAGCCTAAGGATTGAGCAGCATTTTGTTCTTCTCTTTGGCAAGGTCTGTTCTTTTGTTGATTCTCTGTACTGACTGCTCAGGCATCCTGTGTTTGCTGTGCTGTTAGAAGGTAGAGTTACTGTATCTAGGCTAAGATAGATGTTGCTTGTTTACTCAATGTCCAAGTGTGTCAACAAGGCTCTGGAGTTGGGTAACTGGTTGGCTGTAAGTCCTTTGTTGCTGCTGTCCAATTCCCCTTTCCTCCTCCTCTCTCACTCTTCCCTGATTTATTCTTTTAGTATTGTATGTTTTAGTCACCCTCACCCCTCTTTTTAACCTTTTAATAAAGTTGTTTGTTTCCTCAAGCTTGGGTTTGTTGTGTGCTGAATCTGGTGGCTGGCTCAGGGTTACTGACCAGGACTTCTGGGCAGGAGTTCACCCAATTGGCCAAGGGAGTGGGGAATCCCAGCTGACTTTCCATTAAAATCAGCCCTTGCCAACATAATCAATAGCCAGAAATGCTAGGAGATGTGGTTCAGAACAGCTGGGGAACATCATGTGGGGAAGGCTGATGAAAGCCCTGATCTAGTTTTGTTGTGATACACAGCCCCAAGAAACTTTAGCTGCAATTAAGCCAGATGACAAATTACAATCCACCCTTCAGATAAACAAGAATTATGAAGCATCAAAGAGCTATTTAACTTACAAATGTTCAATATAAGTTGCCAGAACACTAAAATAGCAAGTTATGGTTGGAAAATTTAGCTTGAATGCTCATCATTATATTAGTCCCTTAAAATTAAACCCAAGTATTTATTTTTAAAGCAATATGCAGCAAAAGAAAAACGAGGGGGTTCTAGATCAAACCAAACCAAACCTTCTCCTAGAAGTAAAAATGACAAAACAGAGAATGTGATACTTTGGACACATTATGAGAAGGCAAAACTCTCTGGAGAAAACAATTATGCCAGTGAAAGCAGAAGGCAGAAGAAGAAAAGGAAGACCAAATATGAGATGGATTGACTCCATAAAGGAAGTCACAGGCTTGAATTTACAAGAACTAAACAAGGCTCTTATGGAGAAGGCATTTTGAAGAGCTTTCATACATTGGGCCACCATAAGTTAGAGATGACATGATGACAACAACAAACAGCTTGCTAAAACTTCTCTTTCTGTTCTCAATACGCTACGCTAAGATATCTTTTATTTTTGACCCAATAGCAAAATCTGTTTGAGGTATTTAAACAAAAAGAGATGCATCTGGGCTTAATTATAAGTTATTTCTGCCAACTGCAATGAAACCATGACTTTTATATAACACATACATTTTGCTGCATGCCACATTTAGATAGAAAAGTACCCAGTGTTCAGTACACATATATAATTTTAAAAGTATTTTACAAAGAAATTATATACTATTATATGAGCTGGCAGAAGATGTAGTTCATTTACCGGTTCAAAGTCATAGGACTAAATTATAATAGAAGTAAAAACACACTGAAATATAAAATAGTAGTTGATGGCTTAGAAGAAGATATATCTTTCAAGCTGCTAATTTGCTTTTGAACAAACATTAGTTTGAATTCTCAACCACCCATTTTCCAGATTACCTTATGCCTAAACTAACTTTCCATAAAAGCAGAACTTATAGTCAATTCAGTATGTTTCTTTCATGGATCAGTGGTCTTTGGAATGGACTTCATTCTTGTTAACATTCAGGAGTGTTTGGTATCAGAATAACAAGCAGGAAAAGTACCATTTCTAGAATGGCACAAGGAATACAGAAATTATGTGCATAAAAGGAATTGTGTGATTAGTTTAAAATGTCCTTTTAAAATATTAATATTCTATTAATATGCATGCCAAAATACAGACATCCTTACTGAGCAGAATGTAGAGCAATAATGTACTACTCATTAATATTATTTAGGGATGCAGTTGAGAGATTTCCTATGGTAATCTCCTGCTCTAACCCAACCTGTTCAGATGTTTCTCAATTACATTTGCTCATCCATTTGTCCCTAACTGTAAAGGACAGGTACACTGAAATTCACTTTCTTCCTTCTATGCTTCTTTCAGTACATTTAAGTTTTGCAATATATGCAACATGTATATATTGGTGTACTGCCTATGTAAAAATAAAAAGCCATTTCTGTGCATCCTACCCATCCTTTTAGCATCTTTTATGAAGTCACAGCATAATGTATCAACTAAGCATAATGTGATTCCTAAAAATAAGAACAGCAATAGATTCCAGAAGTTTTGTCTACAAAAAATAGCCAAAAATCTTCCTTGATTATCATGATTGCAAGACTGAATGCTTTGTAATACTATCATAGTTAACATTCGGTGTGTACAGCAACCATATTACTAGGGTTGGAGAACTACCACCAAACATTTACTCAGGAAGAAAATCACTAGGAGCCCAGAAAGATACTGGGAACATCTCATGTTAAAATTAGGAAAAAATATTCATAATTGAATTGACTTTGTAGTGTTGAATTGACTTTCTGTGGCAAAGTCTATTATCTAAATAGGGCTCAGACTCCACAATCCAAGGCAGAGCCATATGGATGGCATCCAGCTAGAAAACCATCACCTGGAGTACTAGAATTACATAAATTATAGCACTTACCAATCAATATCTGACCGGATTTTATTGCTGAGCTGCCTGGAATCAACCCATGTACTACAAGTTTTTCTTCATCAGTGCTTAGAGACTCAATACTGTGTCTATGTTTTTCGGCTTTTCTCCATGGAGATTGATGAACAATCCCTATTAATGACTCTAAAAGCTTAAGTTGCTCCCCTGTCTCAACATTTGATAGCTTCTTTGGATTTACATAAATGCGTACATCTTTGTACCAATGCTGGATTACATTTTCCATCTTCTGAATTGAAGGTTGTTTCAGTATGGATGCTGGACCAGAGGCATGGACATCCCATTTACTACTTGCTTTCTTCTTACCACGATACTTTGATAAAAGACTTTTATTTTTTAATATTTTAGTGAACCTTTCCAGTCTGCGCTCACTTTTTTGACCTTTTTGAGATCTTTCATGAATAACCTCAGGTTCATTTTCACAAAACCTGACATGGTTCACCACAGGCACATTCAAGGATCTGTCCTGAAGAATGGTTTTTTCTTCATCTTCACTCAATTCTAGATAGAATAACTCTCCATTTTTCTGTACACTATCCAACCATTCAGGTTCAAGGTCACTGTGAAAGAAAGGGCAGAATTAGAATGGTAGGCATGGTAGGCATGTCATGAGCAGAGCTGGCTGCAGCCCCCTTCTGACTTGGTCTGCTCTATGTTCTATGTTTCTAGAATAATGAAGAGTGAAAAGGCTGAAAGTGCCCTTAGATTGCAGCCCTCTGGACCCAATTTATAATGATCTGAAAATATGTACGAGGAGGAGCATGGAATGGAAAGCTCAAAATAGCTGTCTTAATATTAGGTATGTGAAAAGTCATCAAAGAAGTGAACATATCTGAAGTATTCTTTTCACGTCCATGCCTCAGAAGCAATTGTATCCATATGGATGAGAGGTTTTCTTCTGATGAGATGCACCAGAGGCAGCTCATTTACCTGATGTTCAGTCCTTCAAATGGAGAAAATTATTTGCATTATGAACATGCAAATAAAATCTATATAGCTGGTTATATGGGGTTTTATTTATTAGCACAATATATGAAACTATTCTTCATTTGACATTGTAAGGAGGTACACGCCAAATGAGAAAATATGTCTTATTTTAAATTAATCTTGTTGGATTAATTAAGCAATTCAGATTAGAAAAAACACAGTTTCTCTGTAACATAGCAAAATAGGTAGGGAACTAGCAAGACAATCCTAGGGTGCAGTATCATCATCGTTTGAATTACAGTGTATGGGGGAAGAGTATATGCTACTCTTCTGACCCTCAACTGTTCCAAGTCTGTGACTGCCACAGAAATAAAGAACTGCCTCCCTTGCAGAACTGCCAGGGAAACCAAACAATCAACTCTGAAGAAAACAGAAGAGTCAGAAAGTGCTACTGGACATGGCTTAGACAATTAGACCAGAAGGCTATATATCGAAAATACAGAAACAAATCAATGTCAAAGTGTAAGTGATAAATACATCAGTTCCAAAAGGTGAGAATTCGAATGATCTTCAACTTTTTCATTAGTAATTTGTATTATGCAGTGTTACATGAATTCAAGAACTGCAAACGATGAACTAACAACAGGGGTAAATACAAGAAGCAACAGAATTAGAAGTGAGGAACAATGAATTCAATATTCAATTTCGGTTTTGTGCCTAAAATGCTGAAGAGACTAATCATTTTTTTCTTGAAAGAGTTTAAATTCTGAAGTCTAGAAGAATGGATTCCTTAGTTTTGTTTCATGGTCTAATTGTTCCTGCTGCTTAGGTTCCCTAGACTTTGATGCAACATTATGGAGGACTAAACCATGGATGGCATAGAGATCTGTGAACAGAGGACACATGATTATTTTTTAAAAGCTTGCACATGTGTTGGAGGTGTAGCAGGTGAGATTCAAACCAAGACTGTGACACATAGAGAGAAAAATAATCATTTCTTCAATTGAAAATTCCCAAAGCTACTATCTGCCCCATGGTGTGAAACATATCTTCACTGGAGGTATTTAAGCAGAGGCTGCAGGAATCTTGTAGCCATACCCTGAAAAGCAGAGCCTGCACCCTGCAGGGGGCTATACTAGGTGGTGTGCAGGATGCCTTCCAACTCTATGTTTCAAGAATTCTATCAAGTTTAGCTCTTCATATTATTGCAAAAGTTATCCATTTTCTAATGTCTTTAAGGGTCTCTTTGTGATCAAACTTGAGTTAATGTCTCAGAAGTGTTTCTGATTCACTTCAGGCCAAACTTTTTTTTTAATGTGTACTTGCAAATTGGGAATTTACAAGGCATACTTGCATACATATTTAGGAAATTAAATCAAAATCTACCCCAGCTGGCTTCCATAACAGTTCTGTTGGTCGCTACATAACAGGCCATACAACAGGCATATATTTTTGTCAGAGCATTGTGATCTAATAATAGCATTGTGATCAGTAAAAGCTTACATCTTGAATACTAAAGTAGTCAGTGGGATATGGTATTGATCCAAGATCAAGTCCCATGTTTGCCTGAAACCTAACATCTTATTACATTCTGTTACCACTAATGTGTTTTTATTCAAAGTCAGCAAGAAAAACATCTGAACAAATTATGTGGCAACACATTACCAGTAAAGCCATATTGGAATTTAAGAACATATAATCTTTGTTCTGTTACTAAAGCCATAGAACATTGCAAATGCATTAGAGTGTTGCATCATTTTAAAAGCAGAACATGACAGATAACATCAGGAAAAAGTATGCGATGACTGGCAATTAAAATCCTGCTGTGAGTGAGACAAACCCAAAACTTTCTTATATGAAAGGAAGAATTGGTTGGAAGGTAGAAGCTGTACCCATTGTTAATAAGAAAGCCCAATGTTAAAGAACTTCTCTGTGCATCCTCAAAGCTAGGATTTAAGACTACTTCTGGATGAGTGGTATGCATTAGTACTTGATAAGGGAAAGGCAGATAAAAGGGGACACAAAGATTAAATAAACTGCAACGGCCAGTAAAGTTGTATAGTGAAGAAAGGGCTGCACCACAGATTTAAAAAGAAGTAGATGGAGCCCTTTTACTCTTTCCTATTCTTTCTCCATCTCAGGCTCTTTATACAACACCAGCAATGCCTATGACCCATTGTTCCTTTTGTTCAACTTTAGGGAAGTTGTAAATGCACCACAATGTCCTAACGCAGGAGAAGCTACTAATCTTGTGGGAATTACTAATATGTCTAAATGAGATATAAGAAATGCTTTATGGGATAAGATCAGCATATCTCCTTTTGAAAGATGACCCCGAATGCTCACAAACAATGCATTATGGTGATGGTCATCTCCAATTGTTTACCAGATCTGATTTTCAAAGATAGATTGTCTCAGGCTTCATCTTCAGGAATGTCACTGATTCTTTCTAATGGCAATCTAAACAAGTCACATCTCCTCTGACGGTAACAAATTATTCTTAAAGTAAATTATCAGGCTCAACTGTGTGAATGAAAACTATTTCCTTTGGTTTAACCTAAAACTGTCAGTTAACCTAACTAGAGAGAAATTACAATATTATAGGAAAATACAAAAACATTATGGACTTACACCATGTAGAAGGCCCATTGCTTCCATTATGGGATTATTAATATTTTACGGAACTCCTGCATGCTGCAGTGAGTTCTCATACACAATTTACAAATTTCTCTATTTATTCTGGCATAAAATTTCCTGAAGTGCAAGAATATGACCCACTGGAACAATGGGGAGTGGGGGGAGAAAGGGGGTTAGAAAAGCAAGCTGGGATCATCAAGGAGTTACCTGGAGGTAGACATGAACATGTGTTTCTTATAAGGTGAAGTAATGGAGTGCATCTCCCCGAAGATCACTGGGGATGCGGTATAGGGTGTGTATTTTGTATTTGGGAAGAATAGTCTGGGTAGAATAGATCTTCTTATTTAATAAAAATAATCTGAGGGCAATTCATTTTAGAATAATTTATTGAGAGGTGATTTGGTGAGACTGACTTGCCGTTCTGTGAAAAAGTCATTTTGTTACAGAAGAAAACTGAAGATTCAAAGGAGTGTGTCTATCTTCTAGAGTCACCAGTGTCCCTTTCTATGAAATGCGTATTTTTTTGCAGTAGTAAATTTTATGACTGCCCATATCCTATCACACCCATTTTGTAAAACTGCCCCCCCCCCACAGACAAGCTATTTTGTGATAGCGGAGACTACAACACTTTCTCAAATATCCAAATATGCTCAGGGACTCCCAAAATGTTAGAAGCGCCTAGAGGAATCACGTCGATTCAGTCTGGGAAGATCCAATTTCATGTAACAGTGGGGAGGGAGAAGCCGTTAGCAGGTCCACAGACAGGACGTTCTCTCTTTTAAAAGTAACACAAAATAATACATTTTTACAACACTCCAAATGATCACTTATCCAGTAAACCCCAGGATGCAGAAACAAAAAACAGAAAAGGCACGAGCCCCGAATTGCACAAGCGACCAGAAAAGAGGCCAGTCCCTCTTGCATCTCGCCCTCTTCATCCAACATAACCCAGCTGCCGCCACCGCCGCCACCTCCTTACTCGGAGCTGCCCGACAGAGAGGCAGAGCACGAGCCGCCGCTCCCCGTCGAGGTGCCGCCCTCAGATTCGTTACACTCCTCGGGCGGCGGCTCTTGAGAAACCTCGGAAAGCGCCAACGACCTTTTCTCCATGGCAGGGAAAGTTCAGCTTCCTTGGAGAGACATGGCCTCCACCGCCGCCATGACACCAAAATCCGGAAGCTGGAGGGGCAGCACGTGATCCCCCGATAGCTCTCCCATTGGCACAGGCTGAGGAAGCCATGGCAACGGGAGAAGCTCTGGGTGGAAATACTGGGCGCGGGTATAAGACTTTATTCCTAGTTGAAACTCTTCCCACAGGGGAAATTGCTTTTACTGCAGTATAATCTCGTCCCGTTTAGCGCTGCCATCTACTTGTATGCTTAAGCAGAAGCAAGCTCCACGCCGCTTAATGAGTCTTACTCCTAGGTAAAGCGTGCATAAGACTGCAGTCTTAAAAACAAAATCCAGAAGTGTTCACGCAAATGTAAATTGCATTGGGGTTGTATCCAGGCACAAACTAGTCTGACTGCAAGCACAGCAAAATTCTGTCATTCATGGCTAATTTGTCCCATTGGTTTATTCTACTCTAAACATGCCTAAATTTGGCTCCAACCCAGTGGGGAAAAGGTGTTAGAGTGCTGGACTCAGGCTTCAGAGATCTGGGCTCTAGTCTCCGGTCTGTCATGAAGCTCATTGGGTGGCTTTGGCCCTGTGACTGACTCTCAGGCTAACCTACCTCTCAGGTATGTTGAGAAGATCAAATGGAAAGAAGGGCCATCATGTAAACTATGCTGGGTTCCTTGGAGAGGAAGAAAGGTGGGGTATAAACAAATAAACCTCATTGCATTCTCTGGGCTTCTAGTTAAAGTGTGATCAGCTTTGCTACTGTGTGCATGTATTTACTTAAATGCAAATACAGTTGCACTTATACAGGCTTGCTGCCCAATTAGTATGCTTTGTGTGCTTACTACAGTGTTAAACTGCAAGTATTGAAAGCCTTGTCCTTTGAATTCTGATCCCAAGTACTCCACAGCCCAATTCGGAAAAGTATTCCTACTTCCCCAACTCAGCTCTCCAGAACCCAGGTGTCCAGCCAGAAAGTAGAGGAAGAGCCTTTCCTGCCCTCACTAAATAGGGACTTCTAGTGGGGTCAGTCTAAGGAGATCTTTGGATCCTCCTGTATTTGCATGATTTTGACATGGGATTTTCCCCAAAGCAACTTCAAATTGAAATTTATATTGGTGTCTACGAATCCTCAGTAAAACATCTCAATATGAGCTTATCAGGACTGGAACTAAAGGTGCAGATCCTTTTGGATCTTCAAAAGTTTAACAGGGTGACAATCAAACCACCACCAAATCACAACAGACATACATAAAGAGGTGAGTTATTGCTTGTTGGAAGTTTTGGAAGGAAGGATCCTTTGTAAAAATTACATCCTGGTTGTGTCAGGATGCTGCTGAGAAGAAGTTAATCTGTTATCTTTATGACCATGTGATAAATGCTGGGGCAGGGGGATCATGTGTGAAAAAAATAATAATGATAAACTATTTTCCTGAAACCAACATTTGTGTCAGTGTATATGCATGCCTCCTCACTCCTTGTGCTCCCTCCTCTGACACCCCATTGTCCCTTTAACAACAGATGCCTCTCTTCTCTCTCCAGCTCCTCCCTCCCTCTCCCCCTCTCCCTCTGGTCCCTGCTCCAACTTACTTTCTCCCCACTTCTTGCTACCCCCCTGCTTGTTCCTTTCGAATTTTTGTTTCTTTAAATGCTAAATAGAGTATGTACTCAACACGCTCCTTGATAAATGTCAAGTGTAATGTTGATTGTGACTTACTGTTTGAGCAAATGGAAACATGATATAAACATTTAAGAAGTATTTTTTGCTTTATTTGTTGAGCCATAGAAGTAGTATACAGAATTGCTCCCTGTATAAGTCATATTATGTTTTCTGCTACATAAAGTCTACTCCTCAACAGTATGACCAGCACTAGGGTATATAAATTAAACTATATGAAAACAACAAGAAAGACTTCCCTTATTGCACAGTTGGTAAGAAAAGCTCAATGGAGATTTCCAGTAGCATATCTGAGTCTTTGTGTGTTGCTGGATCACTGTGTATGTGTTTGTGTACATGTGCATGGATACATGTATGTGTGTAAGGGAGAGTATGCTCTGAAAGTATCCATGGAAGTGATTCCCTTTAGATAGTTATTTTATTGTGGATATAGCAATATTAGACTTCCATTTCCAGAGTAAAGTGTGAAGGATGGATGCCTGTCCTTAAACAGCCATGTACAGGGAAGCTCCAGCCAATCAGGACTCCTCAGTGTGCATCTAAGTGCATGTTTTCTGCAGCAAGCACCACAGTAACACTGCTGTTGGTGCAGCAAACAGTTACTGCAGAAAGCTTGACCCTATTCTTAGAAAGTTTCTAAGAGTACTTCCAGTCGAGAGATCCTAACGCTAACAACCACACTGTCTTTTCTATGCAATTGATTTTCTGCAGTACGGAAAAAAGGAGTGGAATTACCAGAAGGATTACAAGAAGACATTGTTGTGATCTGGACTTCCCATAAAATTCTGTGAATGAGGCAGGACAATTTGCCATGAAGCCGATATGGAATTACCCTAGGTCAGGGGATCAACAACTTGTGAACCTCAGTATGTTGTTGGCCTATAATTCCCATCATCCCCCACCAGTGACTATGCTGGCTAGGGCTGAAGGGGGATGAAGTTTGGGGGGAGCATACACAACCTAGTACCCTCCAGATATGTTGGAGCAAAACTCCCATGATTCCCCAGGTAGCACAGCACCAAGCTGGGAGTGACTGTTGTAGGGAATGCTGGATCAGCTGATTCTTGCTAATCTAAACAGGGCAAGCAAAAAGAGAGGCTTTTGGATTAAATCTGCACATTAACTGATACTTTCTTCTTTTAGTATCAGCTTTCTCCCCACCTCTCACTAGTAATATGGCACTAACCAATGATGAGAAAGCTTTGCTCTGAACATGCACCTGGCTGTAGTAGAGAGGGCAACAAAGAAATGGGAACTGTGGCAAAATTACTCGCTGGTAGGTCACTTGAAGAGTAGACTTTGGCCCAGTCCCTTTTCGGAGTGATCCTTCAGCAAAACGTATTGCTGACTAAATTGCTGTGTTCTCCATCAACTTGCTTCTGCTTTCTACATTCTGCCTCACAGGTGCCACTAGCTCTGTCTGACCTTCTTAGCACGCTTTGCAACGTGCAGAGATTCTCTAAACTGCAGGAATCCCATGTAGAAATGGCAGTGAAAATTCGACAGCCACCATACTAACCACAAGTTTGTGGGCTGGCTGGGTGAAGGAAGTGTTCTTCATATAGCTAGTATGAAGAGAAAAGGAGAGATGTGCAAATCACCCCCTTGCATATTAGGAAGAACACACACTTGGAGAAGGCCCTGCTCCACAAAAGTTCACACTGACCTGTGCAGCAGGATGCTCTGAACCGAATCGAGATCCTCCAAATTCCTGGTGACAGGTGTGGGGATGCTCGGCTTTCTGGGGCGGAACATCTCGTGAAGAAGTCACCATCACCACCTTCTCTTCCTCTTCATTACCCGGGTACAAAGCCGTGCCTGCAGAATCCATCAGGTTTCATGCAAAGTCTTGCGGATCGCCCAGATTGCGTCTCCAGGCAATAGTCACAAGGAAGAAAGGTGAGAAGTGGACGCGGAGAAACTGAATGGCCGCTTCCTCGGGAAAGCCGGGGAATCGGTTACTCCTCGTTACGGTCGGTGCCCGGCAATCTTAACCTCCTCCGAAGATCTCCGTTTCCCAACTGTTTTCCAAGATCGGAGCCGCGGATCACAGGCCATCTGCAAATGAGAGAGGGAGAGCGAGGGAGAGCGCCCCGACCGCTACGAACTGTTTGGCGGAAGAAACTTTGCAGACTGCTCTACTGGCAAAGCAGGTGGGAGCCTCTCCGCTCTCCCTCCTCCTAAACTATTCTCCTGGGTCTTAAAGTCTCCTTGTATCCTGACAACTAGGTAGGGACTTGGGATCAACGAAGTGCCATTCCTGTAGAATTTAGTGGCACTTAGAAGCACGCTTAATAACAGGACGCCAAAGCAATTATGAGCTTTTTGAGGTCCAGAGCGGGCATTACTCGACATCTATGTCTAGCGGGTCCGTCCTTGTTTGTCTTCCCTTCGACTGTAGCGTAGATGCAAGGGCCCCAATCCAGATTAGCGAACAGGGCAGTGTTCAAGAGATGGATAGGGGCCGTGCAGCTATTCTAGAGCAAAACTGACACCAACAAGCGGAAACGCGTGGCTGCTAGCACAGATTTAAAGCGATCTTTATTTTGGACTTAAGTGAGCTATTTGTTTTTATTATTATTATTATTTTGGGGATTTTAGGGTGCACACCTCAACTCTGATCAATTCATTTATTTTAAATATTTCTAGTCTGCCTTTCAGACTGAGGGCCCATCGAAGGTGGCTTGCACCGTTAGACCCCATATGGTAAAAAACATACAGTGTTCAACTTGCAAAAAATAATGAAAATCAACAGAATTGATATAAGCAAAATCTAATTTCAGTATCACGTTTGAACATACACCTAGATAATTTTATTGTAATTTCGCATGTGTGTTGTGCATCTGAGTTTGTTATGGACCATACCTTAAATAAAAGCCCACAGCAAAAGCCACCTTACTGATGAGATACTGAGGCAACAAGTGTCTGTCTGTAGTAAGAACTTGTTCCATGCCATGCCTTCTGACAACTCCTATTTTCTGGTATCTGTAATCATACTTCTTATTTTTTTTGGAAAGCTGCAATACATTTTAATTTTATTGTTAGTGTGCAGTCTCTGAATAAGACTTCTTTGGATTTTAACCTCTACCCTGTCCTTTCTAAATGTAATCTCCATGGCGTGTGCTTGCATGTATTATTATTATTATTATTATTATTATTATTATTATTATTACATTGCATTTATATCTCACCATTTTTTTTCTTGCAAAAAACCCCAGGTAACCTGCATAGCTCTATTTTATCCCCACAACAACCACCTTGCAGGCTATGTTGAGTTGAAAGTCCATGACTGGTCCAGTGTAGGGGGATATATATTTCCTTCTATTTG